GTTGGTTTGTTTCATATTTACGGTAGAACCGATGTTTTTTTTTGTTTTTTTAAGGGTGCGGACAAAAGGGAAAATAGTCCCTACAAAAGGGAAAATATTCCCTGGTCAAGACGTAAACAAGTTAAGCCAGTACTCCGGACCCAACGCTCGTCTTCCTTAAACCAGTTGAAGAAGAACATTCACTGACCGGACCGGTTAAATATCATTCCACGAAATCATGTCCCCAAACAAACAAATTGAAATATGTTTTAAAATATATTTCTGTAAAAAAGAGCAAACAATACTAATTTAAAGTAGCTAAGTCTCTCACTCAATATCATCCAAGGTTTTCGACATTGAAAACACGAATCAATTGTCAATTTAAATCAACATTGATGTTGTGGTCTTACCGGGCTTCTGATATCCAATATTTAAGACAAAATAAACATTTTACCATGGTACACGATTGTGTACCATAATGCGTTTCAGCGCCATTTGTAACAAGGGACTCCAAAAACGAGGCTAGACATATTCCACGAGTCATGTCAAACGCTGACGTCATATTCTTATCTAGAGAGCATGCGCAATAAATGCTATCGATGTAGACTGGAATAACCAGACGCTAGGGATTGTCACCCGAATGAGACATAACTTATTTGAAATATAGTAAAAACGGAAATGATTGAATGTAAATCAGTTTATATACATTCTTATTACATTATTATATGTGTAGCGACCCATTTGTGTCAATTTCTAGGTCCCAAATATTAGTGATTTAGCTCCTTTGAATGTAGAGAAGACTTACTGCACTTAGTAAGGAATTCTAACTAGTGACCGCTATCAATGTACACATTTTGGTATATTTAAGGAAAATCTGATAATAGGATAAAGTTAATGTTGATATTAAAACTGACATGTCGATAGATGAACAATGCATAAAGGATTAAACAATGTAATAAATCAACAAAAACAACAGATGGGATTAACTTCGTTACCCAATGAAGGCTTGAAAAGTGATGACAGGTTAACGACTTACTAGCCAGTTGATCTTAAAGTATTTAATTTAAGAAACATTAATTATCTTAGCAGTTGACACAGGCCTTATTTTCTCACTAAAATGGTCCTTTACGTCGTAAGGCATTTACAGGGACTGGCACTGAATAATTTCTATGCACTTTCACGTAAAATTCAATTAAAATATCATGAGGTGTATGGGATATAACTCTTGTTATTATCATCAGGGGTCAGACTACTAATTACTCATTTACCCATTGACTTCAATCCAAAATGTGTTTGACGTGTAATCATGTGCGTATTTTTGATCTCTAATTTTTGTATGTATATAAGCATTCCAATCTGATAAAAATGGAAATCTATATTTCGTTTGTGATATAACTCTTGTTATTATCATCAGGGGTCAGACTATAAATTACCCATTTACCCATTGACTTCAATCCAAAATGTGTTTGACTTGTAATCATGTGCGTGTTTTTGATGTATATTTTTTGTATGTATATAAGCATTCCAATCTGATTAAAATGGAAATCTATATTTCCTTTTCGGCTTGTTTATGCTTTCAATGACGTCCACTGCATAACGTTGACTACTAGGAAATCCGATGAAAATATCGCCTATACTTCAAATACATATTCTGCAAAGTAAACCCCTTGACCGGCCATATATTCCAGCAACCTTCAAGATTTGGTATTCGCGATGTTTTCTATCGAGGAACCTGATAGATCTAGAACTTTGTCCTAGTCCGATCTGAATTTCTGTCGCAACATGTAGAATGTTACGTTACGGACTTGACAAGATTTTTATTGAAGATTGGGTGGGGTGCGGGGGGGGGGGGGTATGATAATCCCAGTCCCTTTTCCGTATAATGATATAGCTTTTTAGATTCAAATAATATTTTATTCATAAACGAATGGGACTGAGCAACAGGCTTTAAACCCATATCAGATCTTTCCATAGATACAAAGGTATAAAAAAGAGACATAATTATGCTATTTGCAAAATATGTTTAAAGGGCCAATCCCGATAATATTTTGGAGATTAAAACTGCTTAATTTTGTGTTAAAATCCTCTACCTTATTGCCGAACAACTAACTCAACATATGTGATACGTTTTCAAACAACTTAAATCCGTCAATCTTGATCTGGATATAGAGACCGGTGTCCCAAGCTGTATTATACAGTGTCTGTTATGTGGAAGTGTATTTCACACTGATTTTGAAATTCAAGTCTGTGACTTTGTTTGATAAAAAAGTTGAACAGCTTTAGTTAATTTTATATTGGATTCCAATGATAAGCTTTCATCTCACTGTAAAATATTTTTTAAAGTAATATTTTGATCATTTATAATTTTGCTAATAATTTCGAACAGTCTAATTTGATTATAATATGGACATATAAAAAAATAATGATATGAATCTTATTCGGGCAATTAAAACAGCAGAGTCGTACTAAAATTCTTCTTTGAGGTGGCTTTTTAGGTTACTACTATTGTTTCTTATTTGGCAGTGTAAAATATTCTCTTTTCTGTTACCAACGTTATGACAGGGTTTGATTTTTTGAAAATGATTTAACTTAGATATATTAGCTTTAAACTGATTAAGATTATTTGAATTTCTGACGTAAGTAGGCAGATTGTTCCATAGTTATATAGTACTCGGGAAGAAACTGTTAAAATAAGACATTGTTTTACATGAAGGAATTTGGAAGTTGAGATTTGAATAACGCAGGTTGTAACTCGAGAAATGAATAAAATCAATTGTAGATATGCCGGCGCACATCCATAACAGATTTAATAAAACATAGCTCTTCCACGGAATCATTGCTTCAATTTGGTGTGCCACAAGAATCAGTACTGTTCGGCCTGTATACACCCTCACTAGGCGATTTCGGTGGCAAATTTGGAGTTGAATTTCATTTAAACGCTCACGACACCCAACTATATATCTCCGTTAAGAGGTCAGATGCCAAAGTTCAATATACATCAATATACATCAATGTAGATAATATTAAACTCTGGATCTCTGAATTTCATTAAGCTTAACGTTGAGAAAACAGAGTAATTGGAAACTGGTTTCAAAACACAACCTCTTAAAGCTACATGATGATCTCTCTATTCGTGTTGGTTAGTCATCACTAATTCTACTGCAGCCGAAAAATTGGTGCAATTTTCAATTAAAACATGAACATGGGGTCCCAAACTAACAATGTATGTAAAGTAGGCCACTTTCATTTGAGAAACTTTGCCAAAATTAGGCAGTTTATTACTATAGATGCAACAAATGCACTGATACAAGCCCTAGTTATCTCTAGACTAGATAATTTTAATTCATGCCGCGGTGTACGGTATACCTATATACAGCCATCGAAAGCAGCACAATCACTGAGCACTGGGGAAGACAGAGGCTAGGTCATTTCGGGACTAACATATTATGGTTCAATTTTATTCCATCAATTCGCACACGCACAGGTTTTTTTTTAGCAGTGGAGGAAACCGGAGTACCCGGAGAAAGAAAACCCACGAGGATGGACAGGCAACCCCACTCCTTGTCATGTACATGTGGAGAATCGAAAACCACGCCATTTGATTCAATGACAGGGCTTATGATCAAAGGCTCACACGTTTAACCATTATGCCCCACCCTCCCTCTGAGACACTTGAACTCTCAACGAAGACGCTCAATAAAAAGCAGAAGACAGCTACGAGATTTGTTTTAATTGGAAGTATTTTTTATTTATTTATGTACATGTAATGTTGGGCGCATCCTCCACCCCTCGCGCATATTGCAATCTGCACTGCCGTGTAGTACAGATACCACTTGGCGGTGCAGTTTGAACCCTGAACGCCCCCGATTGTAATCTGCGCGTATCAAGCTGGGGCGCAGATTGACAACTTTGTACTCATTATTAATCGATGCTTTTAAGGACCAAAATAGGATGTTAGACGCCTCATGTCGAAGAGGCACCCATAATTCCGAGATTGATTTGTTCGTACATGACGAGATCATGGACGCCCATGTAAGAAATCTACCATAAGAAAGCAAACTTGAGATTGTAGGAAATTTTCCAGGTCAAATTCACGATGGGAATGATATTGAATCATGCCCGTGTGATAATCTTCAAAATTCATACAAGCCGAACTTTTCATTTTTCTCATAAATTATTATAGGTATGCTTAAGTCGTGTGTTATTTTCATAATTCCTCCCCTCATGTGCAAACCCTATTTTCCGAAATTTTTTGCCAGGAGAGCACCCTGGAAAATTCTCGGAAGGGATGCGCGTCCGCGGTGTCGTTCGCCGTGGACCGTCAAGTGTCTGTACATCGACCTTCCCAGAAACCCTATCGGCGCCCCCTAGAAGCCCTTGCCCCCCCCCCCCCTCCAACAGTTTTCGGCTTGCTACGGGCCTGTATAATTGAAATAGAAACATTAATAACAAACAGTTAACAGATTTTGTATTGTTTTATCAAGTAAAATGTGTGACTACGTGTGACTGAATTCTGGTTGCGTGGACACCAATCCTCAGATACGTTTATGCGTGTGTTGTGGGTCCAATTTTTTCATAGGCCTGTCGGACTGTGACACAGTAAAATTTGGTCAGTTCCCACAAAAATATATTATATGCAACTCAACACATATATTACCCTTTGAAGATTTTGATGAAATTGATGGTGTACAAAATAAAATATTTACAAGGTGAGTAGCCAAAAATTGAACGAATAAGTGAAATATTAAAATATATGTACAGATGAAGCATGTACTGACGGGGCGGATTATCAGTGCGGTAATCCATTAAATCTACCTGCACAGATTTCACTCCGCGCGCGCAGATTAGTCAACGAAAATTTTACAGTGATTAGGGCATGCGCGGGGGTAATTTGTCCGCGAGGAGCAGTCTGCGCTCAATATATCAACCGGAAACATATACAATGATGAGTAATATAAGTAATATAATATAAGGTGTACTTTTTATTACATAATTCTGGGAAATGCATGAACAATACACTACTAAGATGTTAAAGTAGGATATTATTCATCACGTCACTATATTATATAAGGTGTTCGTCCTATTACCCTATTCTTGGAAATGCATGAATTATACACCACTTACATGTTGAAGTAGGTATATATTTATAAATTACTAAGGTGCGTACAAATCAATGTTTTATATAAAAGTTTGATATTGTGATCTATTGAAGTGGTAAACATAATATATAATCCCCTAGTCAGCACGAGCACGATATCATTGATCACATCTTCAAACATGCTTATGGAACAGCTACTGGTGTATTTAAAACGACGTTTCGAAGAGTATTCTCTCAACGTTATCAAGCCAATACACTCGTAGATGTTTTCCATAAGTATGTGTAGTGTTGTCACTGTAATAAATGTCATACACATGTTGATTACATACATGACCTCGTTATGAACAATACGATCCGCATACACAAGGGTTTAGATAGTCATCAGTGACAGAAATATTTATGGCCGTTTTAAGGACCGCGGGATTGTGTGTTTATTCTCAGCCTGTTGGTCGAGAAAGTTCATCGGGATTTTCCGGCGTGGTTTTCCTTTGTTAGTGGTACAGGGTGGACCCGACAAGGACAGTTGTCCAGTCGTTCGGATGGCACAAAAAAACTGAGGTCCCGTGTATACACTTGCGTGCACGTAAAATACCTTGGTGCCGCTGTCCATGCAAAATTTCCCTTAAAACACACAGCATGGTGTATGTCCGTCTTAAATGCCTTGTCGCAGCAGAATAGTGGAACGTTAAACAACCACATTCCATTTTATTTCATGTATTCTCAGATTCACGTTCCTAATTTTTTGTCGGAGTCTAAATATTGCTATAAAGAGTAATAAATTAATGTTAAATAGTTATCATAAACATTACTACAATTCAATTATTGTAACATGGATAGAGCATTTATCAAAAAAATAAATAAATAAAAAAAAAATACACTTGGGGTATTATAAATTATTATTATCTCTTGCAAAATGCATGTTTAAACACAGGTATATAGATTTTGTCTAGGTGATATTTGAGATTGTAACTAAATACCCACACAGCAATTTGCGGGAGAGAGAGAGATAAATGGGGTTTAACGTCCACTCGACACAAACTAGGTCATTTCGGGACTAACACACGGTTCAATTGTATTTCAATAATTCGCTTGCGCGTAGGGGTCTTTAGCAGTGGGAGGACCCGGAGAAAACCCACGAGGCTGGCCAGGCGAGCCTACTCCTTGTCACGTACAACCGGGGATTCGAAACCACGCCAGTAGACTCAATGACAGACTTTATGATACAGCACGCACGTGCTAACCATTCAGCCACCCCCCCCCCCCCAGCAATTTACGGGATATTATACCATCTTAGGAATATAACTGATAAACCGACACGCATTACTTCCACCTTATTACTTATTATCTTAGTCAATGACGAAATCCAGATTAGTGTCAGAGAAGCAATTGATGTCGCTCTTGACGTATCAAATCATGAGAGTGTTTATGCATAGCTTGGTTTTCATATCTCCACTCCCAGAAGTTTTAAACGGGAGATTTTTGTATATAAAGATGGTAATTATAGTAGACTTAAGGGGAAGTACCTTTGCATATTCTTAGATTAATATAATATATCCCACATTTCATAAATTTTCAAATAATTTCATTATTCTTTGTGTTCCAAAGAAAGTAATTACTGTTATAAAAACTGACAAACCGTAGTTCAACACAGAAATATGCAGTCATACCACCCAGAAATAAGTTACACAAAAAGCACATAAAACTCATTGTGGTTGCTATAAATGAAAATATAAAGTTCAGAGAAATATGGTAAACAATTATTAAAAAGTGTTCAGGTCCAAATACAAGGACGAAATTGCAAATTGTTTAAATTCCAATGATACAAACAATCAAAATTATTGGAATAATATAAGGAAAGCATTTGGCCAGACGGTATCAAACGATATTGCTCCACCTCTGGCTCCGAATGGAATGATTGCTTACTCAAATTGGGATAAAACTGAATTATTAAATAATTACTTTGGATCAAACTGATTTACCAAATTTTGATAAAGAACAAACTGTCAAATTGATATTCCCTTTGTTGAGAAAAATCACCCTACACCTTAAAATTGAAAAAAGTCAATGCCTTTGATAATAATAGTAACAGCCTATTAAAGTGCACCAGAAGTTCTACTTTTATCCCACTAAAACTTATTTTCAACGAATTACTTCAATCTGGTGTATTTCCAACAAATTGGAAACGGGCAAATGTGTTTCCTTTCTTCAAAAGGGTGACAGTTATCTTGTTTCAAATCATCGCCCTATTAGCTTGTTGAGTACATTAAGCAAGTTATTTGAAAAGGTAGTTTTCGAACACCTGTTTAAATACTTCCACGAGAACAATCTCATGTATAAATACTAATAAGGTTTTTGCCCAAACCTGTCCATCAACTATTAGAAGTTTATCGTGACATCATGCCTATAATAGATAAGCACCTATATTCCTGGTATGCCTTCTGCGACACATCCAAGGCGTTTGACCGCGTATTTTTGCCCGATCTAATATATAAATTGGGTCAATATGGGGTTTCAGACTGTCAAATTAAATTGCTGTCAAGTTATGTTACGTATGGGGCCCAACGTGTTATCTGTAAATGATTCAATTTCATCAGAAATTGCCTTACAATCAGGTGTTCCCCAGGGGCCAGTTCTTCACAATTTGGTAAGATTATTTGGAGATGATACTGCACTAGGATGTATGTAACAAACAGTCAAATCTCAATTCTTGGGCGAATAATTGGCTTATAAATTTTAATCCAATCAAAACAAAACTTGTTGTATTCATATTTGGTATTCAGGAAATTGGTGTTGTAAAATGTCATAAACATCTAGGAATTACATTTTCACAAGATGCCAAATGGGCCAACCACCTCCTCCTCGAAACTATTGAATATTGTACGTAGACTGAAATGCTTTCTTGACAGGAAAACCCTTAATAATGTATACCCTGTATTTATGAGGCCAATATTGGAATATGCGTGTGAAGTCTGGGATGGTTGCAACTTAACAAATACTGAAAAGCTCAAAAAGGTAGAGTTAGTAGCTGCCATGCTTTCGTGAAGCACTATATTTTGAAACAGGGCGGTGGCTTCTGTTGGACAGACGCACACATAGGCGACTAACTATCCTTTTCAGAATCAAAAATCAGAGAAACCTCTATTATTTATATGTCATTCTTGAAACATAGCGACGCAGACCTTCACGGTATATATTACGAAACGTTAGCGAATTTAGATCTCCGTATTAAAGAACTACACTACACCAAACAGGATTGGGAATTATTAGGATACCCCCATTATAAACAATCAACCAGCATCCAATCTTTCAAATATCAATATAAACAAAATCTAAGATCTTCAATAACCAAGGCCCTCGATTATTACTCGAAAGGTATAGACATGCAAATGTTATTCACTCTAGACTACGGGTGTAGTTCATTACAAAATGATATATACCTTATTAATGTAATAAATTTATAGAAAATTTATAGAACATTATTCTCTGTGCTGTCATTTGTATGATGTAGTTAGTATGGAACTATTGAAAAGTTTATCAGATTATCCTGTCATTAATATAAATATCTTATTGTATGGGGTCATACAGAATTATCAAATGAAATGAATTTAAAGCTTTTTGGAAAAGTTCACAAATTTGTAAAACGTTCTGGAAGGTTTAAATGAAAATTGAAATTGTTAATGTTTACACAATACTTTGGTAGATAACATTCCATTCTTCTTCCTTTTATACCCAGTCTATTCTCTGGCACGTTTCGCAAAGTTCTTTGAATGGCATTTTGCGACTGAACATAATATATAATATAGTGATTGTTGTCTATAAAACTGTGTTGTGTTATCTTATATTTATTGTTCAGATCGCAAGTCATTTTATACATATCACAGCTCAATGATATTCCACTCAAATTATATATTACGAATCATATTGAACATAATGTATTCTAAGCTAAATTGATACGATTTAAAATGTATTTATTCCCTGTTATGTCTGTACGTATTTAAATTATACTGTATATTATTATATGTTCGGAAAGGGCTATGCTAAGTTTTTGAAACTTGCGCTAATATAACTTTATATCTATTGTTCGGATAGCAAGTCGTTTTAAGTCTAACACAGTTCAATAAAATTCCACTCAAATTATAAATTACGAATCATATTTTCTCATTTTTATTCAAAGGTAATTTGATACGTTTTAAAATGTATTTATTTCCTGTTATGCATGTATGTACGTATTTAAATTATACTGCATTATATTATCATGATTATAACAATATGTTTGGAAAGGGCTACGCTAAGTTTTTGAAACTCACGCCGGATCCTTTTTGATGTTTTTCAATAATAATATATGTTTAAACTAGACCCTCCCACGACATCCGGTTTAATGCACCATCGTGTCTCCTAACATTAAGATAGGCTGACTGTTGATATATTTTCGGGTGACGTCACTATACGTGTTTAGTTTCTATTACCCTATTCTAGGAAATACATGATTTATATAACACTTGAAAGATAAAACAGTGCGGCATAGTTTAATATGTAGGCTACGTGTGTTATATTTATTTTATTAATTTATTTTACAGTTTATTTTAAAGGAAGATATTTTTTGTCATCGTTAGCAGTGCGTGAATTCAATGACTAGTATCTGTATCATTCAGCTCCCGGATTCAAAAGAAAGTTCTGTTATTAGTCTATCGAAGTAAAAATAATCTCACCTAAGAAATATTTGTCAACGTAAGCAGGTACGTGACTTCAGTGTATAATATATATAATATATTTATAACATTCAACATTCAATTCATATACGTATGGTCAGTATAAAGTTATGTCATTAGTCTATCGTAGTACAAAAAAAATCTCATTGAAGAGACATATTTGTCAACGTAACCAGATACGTGACTTCAGTGTATAGAGACTTTTGGCAAGCGTACATTCCTGGGCCCTGTTTCTCGAAATCTTAACTAAAGATATAAATCTAAATTTTAGTAGATACTTCAATTTTGATTGGCTAAGCACTAAAATTAATCTAATATTATCCAATCAAATTACTAAAATTATCTTAGTTAAAATTTCGTGAAACAGCCCCCCTGGTCCGTATCGCTTATCCGTAACGTTTTTGCGTGTGACCTAGTTTGTGTCGAGTGGACGCTAAACCCAATTTTCTCTCTCATTCAATCATATACGTAGTGCCATGGCATACAGAGTTATACTATTAGTCTAAGTAACAATAATTTCATTCCAGAAGGATATTCGCCAGCGTAAACAGGTACATGATGTCTTTAAACATGCATTATGCAAGAGCAAAATCTGCTTATTACAAGTCTTTCTTTAAGCCTGAAATGTTATCTAAATTATCAATAAGACATTAACTAACCTATCCAGACCATAATAAACTCTCGATGTCAAGGCTAGCCTTCGATGTTGGCTGGATTAGATTCCTATATGCCGCTAACGGCCGTTTATAATTAAATCAATAAAGGTGGATAATCGAGACTTTCTGTTTATATTAATGATTTTAGTAATGATGACCGAGACTATGCCAAAATTTCACGAGCTTCTTTCTCGGCTCATGGTGGATCAATTTGACTGAAATTTTCAGCAAATTACCTTTACACTATCTAGTTTTTAACTATTATAGCGAGAACTGCCATCTCGTTATCTTATCTCCCTTAATGTATCTTTAAGTAGTATCAATGTGCTCCAGATGCAGTGGGGTATTGAATTATCTTGAGCCGGTGTTTTATTATGACTGGGCATGAGTCAAGTTTCCATCAGTTAAATATTTATTTCTGTTGAGATACCGATTCTGGTGTTGGCCGCGAAACTTTCTGGAGTGGTTTCCTTTGGTTAGTGGTGCTGGGCGGAGTGCCGTCTACTCTCTCAGGTGGAACTGAAAACCAATGTCCAGTGTACGCAAAATAACCAGTAAAAATTCGAAATAAGAATAGGGTCGTATTCCTGTATTTCATGTTCCTTCTGTTGAGCTACATGTACATAATCTTGAGGGGGGGGGGCGAATAGTTAGCACGTGCGCGCTGTATCATAAGGTCTGTCATTGAGTCAACTGGCGTGGTTTTGATTCCCCGGTGTACGTGACAAGGAGTAGGGACGCCTGTCCAACCTCGGGGGTTTTCTCTGGGTCCTCCGGTTTCTTCCCACTGCTAAAGACCCCTACGCGCAAGAGTATTATTGACATAAAGTTGAACCATATGTTAGTCCCGAAATGACCTAGTTTGTGTCGAGTGACAGTAAGCGCTCTCTCTCTCTCTCTCTCTCTCTCTCTCTCTCTCTCTGGGGATCACGGTGGCTAAGTGGGTAAGGCGCTGGCTCGCTAGCCTGGAGGTCGGGTGTTCGATCCCTGCATTGACCGAGAAAGTTCATCCAGATTTACCGGCGTGGTTTCCCCTTGTCAGTGATGCAGTACGGAGGGCCTGACAAGGACAGCTGTCTAGTCCTTCGGATGGGACAAAAAACTGAGGTCTCGTTACACATTGGCGTGCACGTAAAAGACCCCTTGGCAGTTGGAATTCGATATAAGAGTATGCCGTAGCGCCGCTGCCCGGGAAAAATTTCCCTCATAGCACACTGTATGGCGTATGCCCGTCTTCATTAGCCCAGTTTAGGGACAGAACAGTAGGACGTTAAACCCCATTTCATTTCATCTCTCTCTCTCTCTCTCTCTCTCTCTCTTTCTAATCTTATATAATGTCCTTTTAATCAATCGGCGTACAGGGTTTTAAGATTTATCTTATGTATGATTAAAACACATGCTAAAGTGATTTTCAAGGAATTTAAATATACACTATGCAAGAGCTAAATCTGTCTATTGCAGGTCTTTCTTTAGGCCTGAAATGTTATCTAAATTATTAATAAGACATAAATTAACTTATCCAGACCATAATCAACTCTAGACGGCAACGCTAGCCTGCGATCTTAAGTGGATTGTGAGCCGATTTACTGCATAACTTTCCTTCTCGATTAAACGATTAAATAGATAATCGAGACTATGATATTTATCCTACTAACTTTAGTAATGATGACCGAGGCTAGGCAGAAATTTCATTCGCTTAGTATTCGGTTCATAGTGGATCAATTCGAATGAAATTGTCAGCAAATAACCTTTACGGTATCTAGTTTTTAACTATTATAGTGAGAACTGCCGCCCACTGGATAAACCTTATCCAAATATAACGTGATAGTTTTTCTTTCTTTATATTAGGATTAGCTATCTATCGTACTGACTTTAGTAATGATGATCGAGGCTAGGCGGAAATTTCAACCGCTTAGTTCTCAGTTCATAGTGGATCAATTTGAATGAAATTTTCAACAAATTGCCATTACATGATCTAGTTTTTAACTATATGTTGAGAACTGCCAACTCGTTATTGAATCTCCCATAATGTATCTTTAATAAACGAAATGAAATGGGTTTAACGTCCCACTGTTCTGCTTCGGCTGGGCCAACGAAGACCGGTGTTCGCCATGCAGTGTGTTATAACAGTAACGGCCTACTCTTATATCGAATTCAAACAGCCAAGGGCTCTTTACGTGCACGCCAATATGTACACGGGACACGCTGGCTCTTGCCAGGCCCGATGTCTTACATCACAGAGTGGTGCAGGACGAAGAGTCTGACAAGGACAGCTATCTAGTCGTTCGGATGGATCGAAAAACCGAGGTCCCATGTACACATTGGCGTACACGTAAACGATCCCATGGGTAGATGGAATTCGATACAAGAGTAGGCCGTAGCGCCGCTGTCCAGACAAAATTTCGGTCATGGCACACTGTATGGCGTATGCTCGCCTTCGTTAGCCCAGTCGGATCTGAACAGTACGACGTTAAACCCCATTTCATTTCGTTTTATTTCCTTTTAATGTTTTATTTTGCAGAATGTCAAGATCGGAGTTCATACCTAATATAAATGAACGCGAAACCCTGGAACATTTTGCTGCACGATATTTAAAGATGCCAGTAATGTTTAAAGCTCGGATGAACCAAACCATTCAGCATCTCTATTTACATCTAGAAAAACTTCCAGGATTCTCTATTGACCATATCTTCAGGGTAATAGTCGTCATTGTTTTCTATATAGTATAAGAGAGAGAGAGAGAGAGAGAGAGAGAGAGAGAGATGGGGTTAAACGTCTACTCGACACAAACTAGGTCATTTCCGGACTAACATATGTTTTAATTTTATTTCAATAATTCGCTTGCGCATAGGGGTCTTTGGCCGAATGGTTAGCACGTGCGCGCTGTATCATAAGGCCTGTCATTGAGTCAACTGGCGTGGTTTCGAATCTCCAGTTGTACGTGACAAGGAGTAGGGTTGCCTGTCCGACCTCGTGGGTTTTCTCCGGGTCCTCCGGTTTCCTCCCACTGCTAAAGATCCCTACGCGCAAGCGAATTATTGAAACAAAATTAAACCATATGTTAGTCCCGAAATGACCTAGTCTGTGTCGAGTGGACGTTAAACCCTCTCCCCTCCCTCCCCCTCTCTCTCTCTCTCTCTCTCTCTCTCTCTCTCTCTGAGCATTTTCTATTGACCATATTTTCAGGGTAATATTCTAGGGGCAATTTGAATAATATCGGGGTATCATTTAACAGTGCGGGGTAATTTGAATAATAATTATATTTTATGGGATTGTATATCTATATATTTTTAATTTAGGGCGGATCTATGGGCAAGGTAACTGCTGTAAAAACTATGGCAGACATAGACCTTATAATCTTCTTCAAAGGATATCGAAGTATGAGTGCATTCATTAAAGATAAAGACACCCTAATCCTGCCAGCTATCAAACGTCATTTAACCAAGGACCCTGTGTATTCCCGGCATTGGAAATGCACCAGCACTTCAAAAGGATATCATGTTACATTAGAAATGGACGAATATAAGATAAAGGTCGATATTGTTCCAGCCATTAAAGTAATTGGAGCTACGGGTATGTATATTCTTGTTCCTTTTTAACAAATATAATTGTGTTATTAAACAGCCATTATCGTTTTCATTACAGACAATAATAAGTAGGCCCCTCGCTAGCTCAGATCATGTAAAAGTTTCTGTCATCGTGTCAAGTGGCGTGGTTTCGACCACAAGCTTCTACGTACAAAGAGTTGGGTCGCCTGTCCAATCTCGTAGTTTTTCTGGGTCCTCCGGTTTCTTTCTACCGCTAAGACCCTTTTGCGTAACGTATTCGAAATAACATTAAACAATATTTCTACTTTGCTTTGTATCGCGTAGACGATACACCTATCTCTACAACATAGGTCTACTAAACATGAATTCGTCCACCATGCAGACTACCTATATTCCATGGAGATATATTAGCAGAGTTGTCTCGAAAGAGGAATACTAAAAATTCAGTTCGAATTTAAATATTCAAACGTTTTTGTGAGATTGTCAGTCTAATTAGAACCATTGTAACAATTGTCGTCTTGCCGTAGTGTTGCGATTGAATGAATGCATAATCAAGTATAGACCGTATGACTTACTAGAGGGGTAGCTATTGGGAGCATCAATTGTTTACATTCTATGGTTTCCTAATTATATTTTATATCCGAAGTATAGATATGTTTATTAGTAGATTCTATATATTAGAGTAAATATTAAATACGTACATAATTATTCAGTTAATCAAATTATGATTATAAATATTTGGTTCGAATTTGTATGTGTAATTTATTAGTTACTCCTATAAATCGTGGTCTTTCGTCTGGGATCAAGCATGGCAGCCAAATTTGTGCGTTGCGGAAAGGGGTGAAGTCAAAAAGGTATTGTGTTATAAACATATATTTTTGGTTGTAATTATCAGTTAATATGTCCATCACATAACTAAGTATATGGCAGTATTCTTATTTGATATGTATAATTGCGTTTTGGGTTTGAAATCTTGTGTATTGTATTAGCTGTCATGCAGGCACTGTCAAACGCCGTTTCCTAGCTAACAATATTACGTAGTTTGTACGTTGTGCTATAGTTATTGTCGTATATCAATTAGTACCGTTTAGTAATTCTGTTAACTTTTGTTATTTCAGTTTTCACATATGTGTATTGTGTGTATGTTCAACTTGATATTCATCATATAATCAACTTAGAATTGTCTGTCAACTAAATGATGATATAAAGAGAATTCATTGAACCCTAAAACTTGTATGTTGAATTTGTTGATTATTCCGGTACACATTTAGTAAAAAGCTTGCGACTTAATCCCAGAAGATTGCGCAGAGCATCACACCTCTGTTCATTTGTGTTTGGCTGCCTGCGTAACGAGGTGTGCTGTTACAGTGAAAACTTTATTCACATCTTTGCGAGTGATGGTATTTTTTGTGCGAACATTTTATTGTAAAACATTTGCGTGCGTAGGCCAATGTATAAGCCTATTTATTTTGCAAACTCTTTGAATCTAGCCCTGTGTGTAAACTTGTTGCTGTTTCTCCTAATTTGCGTATATTGCGGTACAGAAAAGATTTTTGCGATGGAGTCAAGTCATTCAAGTAGAAGATCACACAGCCAATCAAAATCAAAGTCAAGTTCTTCGTATAGAACAAGAAGTTTTGCGTCAAGTTCATCAAGTTATTCTAAGAAGATAGATCTTGCTGCGGAGGCTGCTGCGTTAAAGTCAAAGTTGAAATTTATTGATGTACTTTCTCAAAAACAAATCGAATTGAATCAGAAACAGTCAGAATTAAACCGTTTAGAAACAATTAGAGATATTGAAATTGCTGAAGCCAAGTTAGATGCTATTGCGAAGATACAACATGAAGATGATAGATCAAGTCGTGCCATTGATTCTGCATTGTCTGCAGATAAAACCGAATACGTTCAAGATTATGTGAACACTTTGCACAATTCTGAGCCTGAACCGGTCAAATTGAATAACTCATCAAATCTACCTGTAACTCCAAGTGCTACCACTGCGACAAATTGCGATAACAGACCTACTAATTTTGCGTCAACACCTGTCTGCGAAGCTCAACATGACTTTGTGCGTGCGACCTCCAGCGATATTGAACTTACAAACCGTGCGTCTGCGTTAGATAGAGATACTGACAAGAATAATTGTTCACCTGTAACTTGTGTTGAAGATAATAACTTTGCGTTTGCGAGAGTTTATGATACAGGAGTTAATAATTCTGCGTTTGCGTCATCCTGTAGCGTTGAACTTAGTCATTCTGTGTCTCAACCTCTTTATACCCCTTCAACACCTCAAATTAACCCTTATGCGTTGCGTTCTCAAGAAACCTGTTCAACAGTTTATTCAAGTCAACAACCGAATCCTGTAATGTCAACAAAGCCAGCTTATTACATTCCTACAAGGTCAACTAATGAAGATGATCCGTTAGTCAGAGTAGCACAAGTTTTTGCGGAACATGCGAGTTTCAGTCGTTTACCCCCTCCTGAGCCTGGTACATTCTCTGGAGACCCGTTAAAATACCCAAGTTGGAAAAGCGCGTTTCAAACTTTGATAGACCAAAAGGACATTCCTGTTTCAGAACGAATGTATTATCTTAAGCGTTATTTAAGTGGATCTGCGAGAGAGTGCGTTGAGAATTATTTCCTGTTGTCGACAGAAGATGCGTACGATGAAGCCAAGAAACTTCTTGATGACAGATTTGGTAATTCATTTGTCATTGCCAATGCGTTTCGCGATAAACTTGATGCTTGGCCTAAAATTCATTACAGAGATGGAATAGGTTTGCGGAAATTTTCTGATTTTTTGCGTCAGTGTGAAGTGGCGATGCGGACTACTAGAAGTTTATGTGTTTTGAACGATGATAGGGAAAATAAGAAATTACTTAAGAAACTTCCTGATTATTTAGTATCACGATGGGCACGTATTGTCCATGACTGGAGAATTGAGAGAATGACATTCCCTCCCTTTGTTGAATTTGCGAAATTTATTGATAAAGAATCAAACATTGCTTGCGATCCTGTAACATCTTTACAACAACCTGGAAAGGAGTTAAATCAACCAGATTCGTTAAGGTACAATAATAAATCAAGCTGGTCATCAGATAAGTCACATTTTAGGAGACCTCCTGGAAATGTTGGTTCATTTGCAACGAACTCGTCAGAAAACTATATACCCTCAAGGTCGAAAGTTTATGAAAATGCGCCAAGGCAACCTGTTTGTTTCTTCTGTAAAGATCCACACATTTTGGATAGATGTTCTGTTTTTCTGAAGAAAAGAATTGATGATAGAAAAGACTTTCTAAGAAACAACAAATTATGTTTTAGTTGCTTAAATCCTGGACATTATTACAAGTTTTGTCGTAGAAGAAAAACATGCGATATATGTAACATGTATCATCCAACAGCTTTACACGGTGATGTGCATGAAAGAACTGATACATCAGAAAGGACTGCAACTACAAGTCATAATTGTAAATTGGACATTAGCGATAAATCAAGTCATTGTTCGATGATTCTTCCTGTGTGGATTTCCCATATGTCAAATCCAGAATTAGAATGTCTTGTATATGCCCTTTTAGATACTCAGTCAGACTCTAGTTTCATTTCAGATACGACTTGCGATCGGTTAGGTATCGATGGACCCCACATACAGTTATCATTATCAACAATGTTTGCGAAAGATATGCGAGTAGATAGTCGTAAAATGACTGGTTTAATTATCAGAGGACATAACTGTGACATTAAAATTCCTTTGTCAACTGCGTATACAAGAAACGAAATACCTGCTAATCGTTCTCATATCCCTACACCTGAAATAGCACGTAGGTGGCCTCACCTTGAAACAATTGCGAATGAATTAATGTCACTGAACTCTTGTGAGATTGGTTTGCTTATTGGTTATAATTGTTCCCGTGCGTTATTACCTCGTGAAGTTATCCCCCCTGTATTGAATGAACCCTTTGGTCAGAAGACAGATCTTGGATGGGGAATTATTGGTAATGTTGATCCAGACATAAATAATGAACTTAAATGCGATGAGTTTATGTTTTGTAGTCATAAAACTGAGAGTAATGTTCAACCACTTCATTCGATTAGAGAAGTCTCCGATCAAAACATTCGAACACGACATGCGTTTATTTTATTTAAAACTCAAGTGAAAGAAATCGTAAGCCCTTCTAATATTCTCAAGATTTTAGAAACTGACTTTAGTGATCTCCACTCTTGCAGTAATCAAACATATTCACGTGAAGATAAACAGTTTTTGAATAAAATGTCAGAAAGTATACATTTAACATCTGATAATCACTATGAGATGCCCTTGCCATTTAGAGATAGGGAACCTACACTTCCTAACAACCGAGCTCATGCGTTACAAAGACTTTTACCATTGCGTAATAAATTTAAGAAGGATGAAAATTATCGGCGTGATTATCGTCAGTTTATGTCAGACATTATAAGTAAAGGATATGCAGAAAAAGTTCCTGCGGATGAACTTCATCAAGATATCGGTAGAGTATGGTATATCCCTCACCACGCGGTTTACCACCCGAAGAAGCCTAACAAAATACGCGTAGTATTTGATTGCAATGCCAGATTTAAAGAACAGTCAATAAACGACCATCTTCTTAAAGGCCCAGATCGTACTAACACGCTAACTGGTGTACTCTGTAGATTTAGAAAAGAATCCATAGCTGTGATTTGCGACATAGAACAGATGTTCTATCAGTTTCGTGTAAATACAGAACATCGCAATTATTTAAGATTTCTTTGGTGGATTAATGATCAGGAAGAGCCTACGGATTTTAGGATGACAGTACACTTATTTGGTGCTGGGTCATCACCTGGTTGCGCAAACTTTGGTTTGAAACAGGCTGCTATCGATAACGAAGAGGAATTCGGTTCTGAAGTAACAGATTTTTTGAAACGAGATTTCTACGTAGATGATGGTTTAAAGTCTCTTCCTACTGAAAGAGAAGCGATGAATCTAATAGATGGAAGTAGAAACTTGTTAGCTAAGTGCGGACTCCGATTACATAAGTTTGTATCAAATTCTAAAACAGTAGTTAATTCAATAGATCCAGAAGACCGAGCTAAGGAGATACGAGATCTCGATTTATTCAATGATGAACTTCCGATGGAACGTGTATTAGGTATACAATGGTGTATTGAGTCGGACTGTTTTCAATTTCATATAACTTTGAATGACAAGCCATTGACTAGACGTGGAATACTTTCCACAGTATGTTCTATATATGATCCATTAGGTTTTATTGCGCCGTTTTTACTATTAGGAAAACAGATACTCCAAGAACTTTGTAGAAGTCGTATTGATTGGGACACTAGTATTCCTGAAGATATGCGGTCACGCTGGGAACGTTGGCGAGATAATCTTGTGCATCTTTCGTCAGTGAAAATTCAGAGATGTTTTAAACCACAAACCTTTGGTCAAGTAACAACTCGAGAGTTACATTACTTTTCTGATGCAAGTACCTACGGATATGGTCAGTGTACATACTTGCGATTAGTTGATGATCAACAAAACGTATATTGCTCACTTGTTGCTGGGAAATCACGAGTAACACCACTTAAGCCTATAACTATACCTCGTTTAGAACTTGCTGCTGCCCTTGTTTCGGTTAGAGTCAGTGTGCATTTGAAGAGTGAACTCGACTATGATGACATTAGTGAAATTTATTGGACCGATAGTAAGGTTGTGTTAGGATACATAAGTAATGATGCCAGACGTTTTCAAACTTTTGTTGCGAATCGAGTCCAACAAATTCGAGAAGCGTCGTCACCTGCTCAGTGGAATTTTGTATGTAGTTCTGATAATCCTGCGGATGCAGCTTCTCGTGGATTAGAAGTTGACGAACTGGTTAATCAGTCGAAATGGTTTACCGGACCTGATTTTTTGTGGAATCTTGAACTTCCCGTAAATTGCGATTTCAAAGAAGAATCCCTAATTTCCAAGGATGACCCAGAAGTAAGAAAAGTTCAAGTATTTGCAACACAGTTAACAAAACCTACTGTAAAATTCGACTTATCACGTTTTAAGCATATTTCAACATGGTTTCGAGTTAAAAGAGCTGTTGCCCTGTGTCTGCGATTAAGAAAGAAGATACAAGTTAATCAGGCGAGTCTGAAATCTGTTTACACACCTTTAACCGTGGATGAATTACAACATGCTGAAACAATAATCATTAAACTTCTTCAATCACAAGTTTTCAGCGAAGAAATACAAATTTTGAAGAAATTACAGAAAGCGACTGATGATAAAGCTGCGAAGAGAAAACTAAAGAAATCATCATCGTTATATAAGTTAGATCCATATCTTGATCATAATGGTATAATTCGAGTTGGTGGACGCCTTAAATTGTCTAATTTGGACCCTGCAGAAAAGAATCCAATAATACTGCCTAAGAAACATCATTTGACTACGTTGATCGTTCGTCATTTCCATGAAACTGTAAAGCATCAAGGTAAAGGTCTCACAACTAATGAGATACGCTCCAGTGGATTTTGGATATTAAGATGTAGTTCAGTCGTTTCAAGTTACATCTATCATTGCGTCATATGTCGTAAATTGCGAGGAAGAGTACAAGAACAGAAAATGTCAGAACTTCCTGAAGATCGATTAGAGCCTGCGCCTCCCTTCACATATTGCGCTGTTGATTGTTTTGGACCATGGACTATTAAGGAAGGAAGAAGCGAACGAAAGCGTTATGGTGTATTATATACATGTATGACTAGTCGAGCTGTTCACATAGAAATTGCGAATAGTTTGTCAACAGACTCATTTATTAACAGTTTGCGTCGATTTATTGCTATTCGCGGTCCTGTACGTCAGTTACGTTCGGATAACGGCACCAATTTTGTTGGAGCAAAAAGAGAATTATCTGAGCTTATTCATAAGATCAATCATGATCATGTTAGACAATATTTGTTAGAAAATGGTTGCGACTTTGTTTTCAAAATGAACATCCCTGCTGCGAGTCATATGGGCGGAGTTTGGGAACGCCAAATAAGGTCAGTGCGAGCTGTTCTCTCTACGCTTATGATGCAGTCTGGAACACAGTTAGATGATGAATCTCTTCGTACTTTTATGTATGAAGCTGCAGCAATTGTGAACAGTCGTCCCTTGACTGTAGATACTCTTAATGATGTCACATCTTTAGCACCTTTGACACCTAATCATTTGTTGACTATGAAGACTAAGATTATATTACCACCTCCTGGAGAATTTCAAAAGGAAGACGTTTATTCTAAAAAGCGATGGCGTCGTGTGCAGTATATGGCCAATGAGTTTTGGACACGGTGGAAACGCGAATTTCTACAAAATCAACAAGTGCGCTCTAAATGGAATGATTCTAAACGTGAAATTTGTAACGGTGATATTGTTCTTCTGATAGATGATAGTCTTCCGCGAAACCAATGGTCAGTGTGTCGTGTTGTTGAAACATATCCCGATGCGGACAATCATGTGCGTAAAGTAAAGCTTTACATTGGTAATAAATATTTAAATTCTGATGGAAAATGTGTAATTCCGCCTGTATATTTAGAACGTCCAGTACAGAAATTAGTTTTACTTCTTGGACTTGAAGACCAGGGAAATCCCCGCCAAGGAGCCAACTGAACTGTCTTTTTAAAATTAGAACTCTCTTTATTAAGTTCGTTGAAATATTGAATATGTAATAGTTAGGTTGTTATGTTTTTTGTTGAAAATCAGCATACTAATTTTGAGGAGCCATGTAACAATTGTCGTCTTGCCGTAGTGTTGCGATTGAATGAATGCATAATCAAGTATAGACCGTATGACTTACTAGAGGGGTAGCTATTGGGAGCATCAATTGTTTACATTCTATGGTTTCCTAATTATATTTTATATCCGAAGTATAGATATGTTTATTAGTAGATTCTATATATTAGAGTAAATATTAAATACGTACATAATTATTCAGTTAATCAAATTATGATTATAAATATTTGGTTCGAATTTGTATGTGTAATTTATTAGTTACTCCTATAAATCGTGGTCTTTCGTCTGGGATCAAGCATGGCAGCCAAATTTGTGCGTTGCGGAAAGGGGTGAAGTCAAAAAGGTATTGTGTTATAAACATATATTTTTGGTTGTAATTATCAGTTAATATGTCCATCACATAACTAAGTATATGGCAGTATTCTTATTTGATATGTATAATTGCGTTTTGGGTTTGAAATCTTGTGTATTGTATTAGCTGTCATGCAGGCACTGTCAAACGCCGTTTCCTAGCTAACAATATTACGTAGTTTGTACGTTGTGCTATAGTTATTGTCGTATATCAATTAGTACCGTTTAGTAATTCTGTTAACTTTTGTTATTTCAGTTTTCACATATGTGTATTGTGTGTATGTTCAACTTGATATTCATCATATAATCAACTTAGAATTGTCTGTCAACTAAATGATGATATAAAGAGAATTCATTGAACCCTAAAACTTGTATGTTGAATTTGTTGATTATTCCGGTACACATTTAGTAAAAAGCTTGCGACTTAATCCCAGAAGATTGCGCAGAGCATCACACCTCTGTTCATTTGTGTTTGGCTGCCTGCGTAACGAGGTGTGCTGTTACAACCATCAAAGTAAAAATAGATACTGACATAGACAGATAATGGCTGAATCTTACGAACAAGCAGTGCCAGATTTAGACAAAGAGAAGCCCTTCCCTATTCCAATTATGCGGTCCCTCTCCACCTGCCAGTTTCATGACTAGGGCAAGATGAAAATGTGTTTAAGAAACGATTGTTAAAAGTCGAGGATGATGATGGATGTTAAAGCCTAGAGTACGTGGAAGAAAGGCTTGTGGCAATGTCAAAAATATCATATACCTTATAGATTTTGAGACGCACCCCGCATATAGGTCAATCCAGCACTGCCACCAAGCTAAATTTACGCTAACCGAATATTTAAATTCACGAAACTCATGTTATATGAATATTTAATTTTATTATTTGCAACTAATATAAATAATAATTGTATATATTAAGTGTAAATCATATGAATATTTAATTGTAACTTTAATTGTATATTTTGTCACTAGTATAAAAATTTATTGTAACTAATATAAATATAAATTGTATATATTATGTGTAAATCATATGAATATTTAATTGTAACTTTAATTGTATATTTGTCACTAGCATGAAAATTTATTGTATAATTTGTAACTAATATAAAAATTAATTGTATAGTATGTAACTGATAAAATATTCAATTGCATAATTTGTAGATAATGTAAATATTTAATTATATAAATTGTAACCAATAAAAATATGTAATTGTATAATTTGTAATTTTAATTTTATAATTTGTAACTAATCTAAATAATTGTATAATATGTAACATTAATTGTATAATTTGTAACTAATCTAAATATTAATTGTATCATGTGTAGCTAATATAAATATCATTTGTAACTAACAGGTGATATGACGAAAGTGTATGAAAAGCTAGCATCAGAACCAGAAAGAGCACGACCTCACTATTCCGCATGTCTGGCCCCAAAGCAGTGCAAATTTATGAACAATCAACCACAGCAAGTCAAAACTCTTATTAAACTTGTAAAATATTGGAAGGAGGTTGGTATGAATTATTCTATTGGCTATGTTATTAGTTAAGTGAGAAGTGGTATTTAATGGTCTAGAAAGGAATACAGCATGAATTACTAGTTTAAATAACTTCATCATTGATGGAAGCAACAATCATTTATTCAAAAATATTCGGCATTGTTTTTTGTTTGTTTATGTGAACTCCTCAAGAAGCGATATCGGGTCTCCTAGAAAGAGTTACCATGCCATGTTGACTTTAGCCCTGGAATTTCGCTATTGGTAGACTCCACCAACCGATTCACCAGCCAAGTGGTTTCATGGCAAAAGCACAGCCATTTATGTAAACTCTGAATTAAATTTTTAAAATACCAAAAACATATGTTTAATGATAGGTTCCCGACAGGATTGCCTCTATTGAGTCCACGATCTGGTACGTGTAGATACGTTCGGATACGTTTCGATACGATCAACACGATCGCTACGACTAATGTCGGTATGTAAGACCTGATAGGATCACCACGATTGAAACCACGATTTCAATCGTAGCGCGAATCGTGATAATGGCAACCTGGCATAAACCAGAAATTGATTCTATACACTTGATTATCGATTTCATCTTGTTGTACCTCCTGGGCGACAGTCTTCGAAAATCCCCAAGAATCCGCCAAGTAAGATCGACATGACACGTGGTATGCTTGTTCTGCGGAAAATCACAATTCCAAGATCATGCTATGACGACATGGTCGGCTCCTGATTCATTTAGTACAGTGGAACATGTTATTCTCTTTTACAGTCCAACAACTTAAAATTAAAGTCGTATCTCTGTGAATTACTGGCAGTGCATGTTTTTAGAAAAGACCTAGATAAGAACACATCATTTAAACTGAAAGACGGCATGAAACATGTTCTAAGATATCTAAAGACATATGAGACACTGAAGATAAAATTCAGAGATTATTACGTACCTGACCACTGGTAATTTTTTGTATTTTTTCCCATTATATTTGAATATAGAAACGCTACATATCGCCGGCCGTTCAGTAGTCCACGGTCAGTAAGTCCCGTGTTCGATCTCTGCGTTGACCGGGATAGTTCACCAGTGGTGCAGGCCAGCGGGCCATTCTGAACATCTGAGAAACGCTACCTGCGGAGAAGTATCTCAGACACAGTCAATAGCCATGATATCCATATCACGTGATCTACACATCACAGGTCATGACATTGGCGACAATGGGTCATGAGGTCAACATTGTAAACAATAGGTTTATCTTCAGCAGTGTGTCCGTTGCACCCATAAAGACTATATAATTCGTACAGTCCCAACATGTTCTCTGTTCTTCCAATGATTTTTCACAAAAATAACATCTACAACTCATAGAATTGACGTGATCTTCAATGACAGCGTCTGTTCATAGAGGCCGCCATATTGCACTATTTTGTGCGTCGGTCGGGTCTATTTCAGATATACACAATCAATTCTGTTGATGTTTTTAGCGTTGGGATTGACTAATAGTTAATGTGTTTCAGTTCTAAAACAAATATTTTAAACTTTAACGCAAATTTAGAAAATAGCCAAATTCTGGCTGGGATTACTGAGCAAAATGGCCATTCACTGTATACGTGCGAAAAAAAAGCTAGCCACCAATTAATTTTCGTACGTTAGTTACGTACGGCCAGCGGGCCTGACAAGTGTCAACGTATAGGCATTCGGATGGTCCCTTGTACACATTGGGCCGAGATAGTCCATCAGTGGTGCAGGCCGGCGTACCTGAAAAGGATCAACGGATAGCCATTGGGATGGCCCCTTGTACACATTGGAGTGTACGTAAAATATCCCTTGGCAGTTGTAAATCTATATAATGGTAGGCCGCTGTCTGGGCAAAAATTTCTCCAAAGTCCACTGTATAGCGTATGCCCGTCTTCATTAGTCCAGTTTGAGCGTTGAACCCCATTTCATTTCATATAGCCTGTATGGCTTGCATAAACCGATAGAATAATCCTCAAGATTCAATTTCTGCTCCACGTTTTCTTCGTTTTTCTACCGCTCAATAGCATATCCCAGAATTAAACAAGGACTTACAGTTTGATTGATCAGATTATTTCAATACACAGAGCAAATGTAAGCAGAAACTGTTAGCGGTTAGAACCAGTATGTGGTATCAGATGTTCCAAATGATAGTTCTCGGTTATTAGATTACAACTATCTTTATGAATGTGTTTTCCTTTACAGGAAACAGTATCGACCAAGCCAGCCTTATGTTTTAGACCCAGCAAATCCTTTCATGAATACCTGCACAGCTAACTCGAGTGAAGTCAGCAAAATCAAAACTTGTGCTAAGAAGACTCTATCAGCACTTAGATGAGGGCAGGTTAGGTTGATCTATCTCAGAAGCTCAATTGCTTTCTGGTTTTGAGTTTGGGTGTATTTCATATTGATGTGAAAGCGTATATACGCAGAGTGAAGGTATGGGATTTTAATGTCCAGAAACCCTGACTGTTCTTCGAACCATAAGTTATAATTATGTCGTATTTCGGTAATTACGAGACTTTTGTCGTGTCTTCGGTAGTTACCAAGATTATTATGTATAACACTAACAGAGTTGAAAAGATAAAGATATATTCATTCACACCTCTCAATTATTGAAAATGCAATGGAATGCACACATGACCAAATTTTATAGTGAACTATGCTAGGACCTAGGCCATTTAATGGGAATTTCTTAATAAATTTTGTAAATTATGTAATTATATGTGTAAATGGCATTTTGAAATGGCATTTGAGGTGATATTTTATATTTCTTTTGTAAAGTATGTAATTTTATTGTGAACTATGCTGAATCCTAAGCCATTTAATGAGATCTCCCTAATAAATTTTGTAAATTATATAATGTATGTTTAAGTATGTTGAAATAATATTTTAAATGATATTTTATACACATTGCTTTTCAAAAGTATGTAATTTTATTGTGAAGTATGTTGAAACAACGCCATTTAATGGTAATTCCCTAATATTGCATTTCTAAAATATGTTGAAATGATATTGAAGTGAAATTGTATACACAAATTATTTGTAAAGTATGTAATTGTATTGTGAACTATGTTGAAACCTACGCCATTTAATGGAAATCCTTAATAGGTTTTGTAAATTATGAAATTTTATGTGTAAATGTTGAAATGACATTTGAAGTGATATTTTATACACATTTTTATTTATTAAATATGTCATTATATTGTGAACTATGCTGAAACCTACGCCATTTAATGGGAATTCCTTAATAGGTTTAGTAAATTATGTAATTATATGTCTAAATATGTTGAAATGACATTTAAAGTGATATTTTATACACATTTGTTTTGTAAAGCACGTAACTGTATTGCGAACTATGCTGAAACCTATGCCTTTTAAACGGAAATGAGTATGCAATTATTTGAGTAATATTTTTTATTCACATTGATTGTAAAGTATGTAATTATATAAATAAAACTGATATTTGGAACTGGAACTTATAAAATAACAGTGAACGTTGTATTGCGCTCACCATGGCAGGGGGTGGAACTAGGACTTACAAATTTTAATACAAATATATAATGATCGTAATTCTACGTTCATCAAAAGTGGTCTAATTCCACACCACAGAGGGGTTGAACTATGATTTATTTACATATAACAGTGATCTTAATTCTACGTTCATCGGGGGTGGGATTAGGACAATTTTTACACACATAGTTCGAGATCATGTTCTATCGACTACCAAAGAAACCATACATCCGTAAGTATTAAGGTTTTATTGATCATTCCCCACATAACAATATGATGTTAAATTTACGTTACATTTACGTAAAAATGGTCAGTCAGTTTACCATCATTTTGCTCATCTTTTTAACGATAATTTTACGTCAGGAAATTACGTTAATCTAACGTAAAGTTTACGTCATTTTTACGTTACATTTACGTCATTTTCTGACGTAAATCTAACGTAAATTTTGCGTAAAGTTTACGTCACTTATGTTAGATTTACGCCAGAAAATGACGTAAACTTGACGTTAGATTTACGTCATTTCCTGACGTTAAATTTTCGTTAAAAGGATGAGCAAAATGATGGAAATCTAACCGACCATTTTAACGTAAATCTAACATTAAATAAACATCATTTTCGGATGCAATACTAATGTCAAATGAGCAATTAAAACCTTTAATATAATCTATTATTGGTGGTTGTAATTGTAAAATTCAGTCAACCAATAACCAAATCTTCAACCATATGAGGTGCTAAAGACTCCTGGCGCAAACAATTATTGAACTGAAACTGAATCGTAGGCCCCATTTCTCTCTATCTATTTCGTCCTCGAGGTTTCGGTGGTCAAACGGTTAACGCATGTTCGTTGCATCATAAGTTCCGTCATTGAATTAAGAGAGAGAGAGAGAAATCGGGTTTAACGTCCACTCAACACAAATAAGGTCATTTCGGGACTAACACATGGTTCAATTTTTTATTTCAATAATTCGCTTGCGCGTAGGGGCCTTTAGCAGTGGGAGTAAACCGGAGGACCCAGAGAAAACCCACGAGGTTGGACAGGCGACCCTACTCCTTGTCACATATTGAAATAAAACTAAACCACATGTTAGTCCCAAAATGACCTAGTGTGATTCGAGTGGAAGTTAATCCCCATTTCTCTCTATACATGTATTTATCAATAACCATTCAGAATTCTAAATGTAATTACAACCAAACGCCAAAAAACCAGTACAACTTACATAATTATTCAACAAAATATACTACAAGTATCTATACTTTATTCAAAAAATACATATATAATGTAATAAAATACAAAAGTAGACATTTAAATTGTAACAGTTTATCCACAGCATTAAGTTGGTGACAATTTAGGAAACGGTCTTCGAGAAAAACTTTGAAAATGTGGAAATACGCCAACACATTCAGCAGTATATTAGAAAGGAAAACTGTGACGTTGACCAAATTTGATAAAAAAAACCAAAAAAAAAACCCTACGGCCTCTATCACGTTTGCTAAAGGTTTTCGAACTAGGTGGGATAATACTGGAAAGGAAATTTGTGGAATACTGAATATCTATGCTTCACACCAACTTTGAAACAAATGTGAATAAATTATAGGGCAGTGTTCACAGGTTTTGCAGCCAATCTGCGGGGGTGGGGACAAAATTTGAAAAAGATACATTAACGATACTTTCTGTAAGATTTAGATAAAGAGCTGACCATTCTTGCTATGATTGTTCAAAAATAAATAATATACATGTAAAATGAAAATTTCATTCAAATTACTTCATTCTGAGCCAAGTTATCACAGTTTCTAGTTTCTAGTTTTTTAAATTGCAGGCCAGTTAAAATCTTGAGTATCCAATGCCTTCATATTGCATACTTTTACACATTTTGTCAGGCAGTTTCATTTTGATTTTCCCTAAATTCGAATTCAACCTTGATTATGCGATTTTTCGAACAATCAGGAGCCATAATCGAGGAAGTTACGTTCGGATATGCGCGATTATGAAAAGGAACCAAGATCTTAGTGTGTAATGGTTATATATACACATGGTATTTTTTTATAAATCGAATAAACATTGTGACCTCTACAGGGACCACAAGCTAAAAACGGATGGACGTCTGGACGGACAGGGGCTACGACAATATACGTCCACATGAAAATGTGGGCGTATAAAAATTGTGACCTCTATGGAGACCACAAGCTAAAAACGGATGGACGTCCAGACGGACAAGGGCTACGACAATATACGTCCACATGAAAATGTGGGCGTATAAAAATTGTGACCTCTATAGGGTCCACAAGCTAAAAACTTGATTTTTCGTACAACCAGGGACCATAATCCAAGAAGTTACGGTCAGATACATGCCAATATCGAAAGCAACCAAGATCTTTTGGAGATAAACCTATATTTCAAGTTTCGTCAAAATCGGATAAGAATTGTGACCTGTAGAGTGTCCACAAACAATTGTGTACAGACGTCCGGACGGACCGGGGCTACCACAATATACGTCCACATGAAAATGTGGGCGTATAAAAATTTTGACCTCTATAGGGTCCACAAGCTAAAAACATGACTTTCAGTACAATCAGGGGCCATAATCCATGAAGTTACGGTCCCACAAACAATTGTGGACGGACCGATGGACGTTCGGACGGACAGGGGCTACAAAAATATACGTCTACATGAAAATGTTAGCGTATAAAAAACTGTCACCTTCACAATCACAAACTAATTTGGACAAACAAACAGTCAGGGCAACGATATAATACCCCAATATTGAAATAAGGTATATACTTAATTACACCAATATTACATGTGTGATAGAATTTGTTAAACACATTACAAATATAATTTTAACACAGATTTTTGCTATTATTGATCTATCACGAAAATTTGAAGAATTTGTAAGGGTTTAAAAAGTTTCCCCGTATACTATGGCGGTATATTAGATTCAAAATTCTAACATGCTATCGTCTAATTTCTTACTTCTACTCTTGTAATTTCTAACTTCCATTCATGTAATTTCTAAATTAAGACAATGTATAATTCAACTTCTTTTTTTGTTCAGTGTAAATTTTAATTGTTTCATCTTATTTCTATTATTAAGGCGAAAAATGTCTAGTCACTTTACATGTTAAGCATGAATGGTAAACAAATTTAGAATTTTGATTTCTACCTAGCAACCATCATTATGACGTCGTTTGGTGTCGCCACCGTTCGCTCAATTTGGCGATTGAGCACCTGATCGGGACCATTCTGTTGATACAAACGACTCGCTCTTAGTCCAGTTGAATGGTTTGGTGGAGTGCTAAAATTGAAAACAACTTCGAGAGAGAGAGCGAGAGAGAGAGAGTCTGATGGGGTTAAACGTCCACTCAACACAAACTACATGTAGGTTCGGTATTAACATGGTTCAATTTTATTTCAATAATTCGCTTGCACGTAGGGGTGTTTAGCAATGGGAGGAAACCGGAGGACCCGGAGAAAACCCACTAGGTTGGACAGGCGACCCTATTCCTTGTCACGTACAACCGGGGAATCGAAACCACACCAGTTGACTCAATGACATACCTTATGGTACAGCGCGCACGTGCTAACCTTTCGGCCATCCAACCCCACAAACAACATTGAACGTGATATCTATGTATGGTTTGCAAATACGATTTCAAATACGGTCGGTAAGACGCTGGCTCACTAGCCTAGCGGTAGGGTGTTCGATCCCTGCATTGGTCAAGAAAGTTCATCCAGATTTTCCGGCATGGTTCCTCCTTGTCAGTGATGCAGGATGGAGGGCCTAACAAGTACAGCTGTCTAATCGTTCCGTAGTGCCGCTGTCCGGGCAAAGTTTCCTTCGTAGCACACTGTATGGCGTATTAGCCAAGTTCGGAGTAGAATAGTAGGATGTTAAACCCCATTATATTTCATTTTCTATTTCAAATACAAGCTAAACAGCATTTGTTCATTTTTTTTAAGACAAGTTGAGCCAATTAATATTTATATACTGTTGGTCTACATTAACACAGGGTACAATTTTATAGATAACTCTTACTGAGTTTAATATAAAGCAACGTTTCGACGAGGACACTCTCGTTATTATCAAGAATGTGTCGTTTATATTAACACAATGGTCCCAACCAGGTGCGCAATCACCAAAAATGAGCACGCAGTGGCGACACCAAATGACTTCATAATGATGGTTGCTAGGCAGAAGTGTAAAAATTAAGAAGACGTTTTTCGTCTAAATAATAGAAATAAGATGGAATAGAATTAAAATTTACACTGAACAAATAAAGAAGTTGGATTATACATTGTCTTAATTTAACAAAATACATGAATAGAAGTTAGAAATTACATGAATAGAAGTTAAAAAATACATGAACAGAAGTTAGAAGTTAGACGAAAGCTCGTTAGAATTTTGAATCTAATATACTGGCTGCAGTAGATTTTCAACTCACTGATACAACTCAGTTCAAGCCAAAGAGCGGTTATATGATACTGTGACACAGTGACAGGATATCTGCTTGAGGCAAACTATTCATAAACAATTGACTCTTACAAGATCAGACGGAAAATATTTTAAGCCTACTGCTTGTAAAGTAAAGCTTTCGCCTACATTCTGGTGAATTCTGTGCTACCATAGATACATATATGAGTTCGGTACATAATTAAAAAGTCTTTATTTCTTTGCCATCTGGGTGGTTTCATAGACGAGTGTTATTGAGGAGTGTTATTGAGTTCAGTCGCTTGGTTTCAATCCCAAGTCGGTATGTGACAAATAGTTGTGTATGATAAGTAGTAATGTCATCTAGCTTCCATATACAAAGCCCTTATCAACCTTTTTATAACTTCCTCGACATGACTGCCATGAATGGTGCTCAAATATAGGATCTGTAAAAAAAAAAACAAAAAAAAATTCAATTAAAGCAACTTTTATACTCCAAAATCAAAATGAAATTAGGTTTAAATTATCATTCAATGTGTACAAAATACCTTGGTTTTTTGTCCCATTCGAAAGACTGTACATTGGCCCCAGCCTGCAGAGACTGGCGTTGGCCCTCTCCAGACTCTCTGTCGTGCGCTCAAAAGTCAACTTTAGTTATGCACAGCAGGTAGATTTTTGATGAAAAGCAATAGCAGCCGGGGTCCAAGGGGGAGACGTCAAGTTTGGAATTACGTTCTGGTTGATTACAGTGTTACAGAAGAATTTGCTATATTTCTGCTATTTAGAATCAGAGAAGATTGAGATTAAAGTGTTGCCAATGCTATGAAAGTAAAAATGTCATGTGCCAAAGCCTGCAGCGTTGAGTAGTGAGGACATATTTTTTTTTAGTCCAAAAGGTCTAAGTAATTATTAATTAAGTAAAAATGAAAATGTGTACAGTAATAACCTGATAGTAATTTTTTTTTTTTCACAAAAGCAAACTGTTTCGTAACCTGGCGTCTTACAGAAGTAAGAATTACGGTGAAAAATTAGAAAAATAAGGACAGAAATAATTTTACATCTGTGTGAATAGTATTTATTAGTATTTTTACTACTATTACATTGTATTGTAAGTTCTTTTCATATCGCTGAATTTGTAGTCTCAGTATACGTGTATATCAGCAGTCGGGGATATAAGAAAAAACTTACTTTCAAATAAAACCTCTCAATTTAACTGGTATAATCTATCTTTCTCTGTTTGTGTAATCCAAGTAGCTGTATATTGAACATTTCTCATGCACTCCACGAATAAATTCCAAAACGCCCGCCATCTTTAAAATAACCTTCCCAGAATACCTCGCTTCCGGGTTCAGAGTTGTGAAAAAGTACGTACAAATATAGAAGAATCAAAATGATTTTAATAATGATAGTTTAATCAATGTGGACAATATACTGAAAAAGACAACAAACATAGACCACCTAACATTGAAATCAGTTAATAGAAATTACATTTAATAATCTATCGATGTAGTTATTCATTTGTATTGACTGTAATTTATCTTGACCTTGACCCAAAATGGCGGCATATATCATATACGTAGATAACGGAGTCTATGCGACTATCAACTGTAGGCCTACGCACTTCAATATTTTATATATATTCTATAACTACGTAATATTTTAGGCCTATGAATAGTTAAATTGAAGAAATTATTATATGATTCAGAGGCCTTTTTATAAGCATGCACATGATATAATATACATACGTACAGCTTTTTTCGGATCACGACGGATGCAGTACTGCACTGGCAGTAGCCAAACTCGTATATTTGGTTGATGTTTTTTTAAATAGATCGACTAGAGCCATTTTATTCAGTTGTATCAAATTAAATAATCCCGATTTTTAAAATAATATTTCCATTGCGAATATAGGTATCTACTTTTAAGATGTCGGAATTTTTTTATATTTATTTTCCCAGTCTTATATTTATCTAGGTCAAACTACAACATATTTATTCGACCGTTGGACAACTTTCAAACGTGTGATAGAATCTACTATAAGGACTAAATTAAATATATTTTTTGTGGTAACAGAGCTTAGACACATAACAAATTGTACACACATGCAATAAAATAATATCTAAATTTCTACAAATTTTGACCGAATTTAAATTGGTTTGAAAGGCCACTAACTTGTCTGAGTTGGGGTATTAAGATAATTTATATTTACTTATTGTGCAAAAGTTAGTCTATTTAATAAATTCAATTACCACCCATGCAGTTAAACGCTGCCCCAAAATTAACATTCAGGCTGTAAAGGTGTTTTGAGCAATGAAATAAAAAAAGGTATTGTAATATTTTGGAGCAGATTTTATTTTGTTTAACTTCTAATTGGTTAATTCTTGTATGCATGGAAAACAGGCCACATGAAGCCAAGCCTAGAAAATATGCCAGAGTGTCCTAAATCTAATTAGCCATCAAATTTCCAAACATTCAACCAAAATGAGACGGAGGAGTCCACTAGGCCTACTATATTATTATTATGGTTCAATTATAGCACTTCATTACACATGAGTATTTCTAAGCGCATTCACAAAAACACCCATTTCAACACCATTTTTGGTGGGTTGGATGGTGGGGTGGGGTGGGGGGAATGGCTGAATGGTTAGCGTGCGCGCGCTGTATCATAAAGTCTGTCATTTAGTCAACTGGCGTGGTTTCGAATCCCCGGTTATACGTGACAAGGAGTAGGGTCGCCTGTCCAACCTCATGGGTTTTCTCCGGGTCCTCCCACTGCCAAAGACCCCATTTCTCTCTCTCTCTCTCAACACCATTTTTGAAATAATGATTTTTTAAGTTTTGGATGGAAGAGGACTCACAAAGAGTTTTTGGAAGACAATTTCACCTTTTAGCTGCTCTGACAGAGAAAGAATATTGACAAGCATATTCAATATGTTTCTTTTCTTACTATAGTTTAACAAAATAAAATTTACAGTTCGCACTACTTTCGAGTAGTTGTTGTAGTCACAGAGACTCGAATAGTAAGGAGAATGTGTTTGTGAACTGCACAGGTTTTTTTGTGGAATTATATTTATGACCCCTTTGCCACAGTGGCTAAGTGAATAAGACACTGGCTGGCTTGCTTGGAGGTCACAGGTTCGCTCACAGTGTTGCCTGAGAAAGCTCATCAGAATTTTCCGATGTGGTTTCCGCTTGTCAGTGGTGCAGGACGGAGGGCTTGACAAGGACAGCTGTCTAGTCGTTTGGATGGGACGGAAAACTGAGGTCTTATGTACACATTGGCATGTACATAAAAGATCCCCTGGCAGTTGGAATTCAATATAAGAGTAGGCCTGAGCACTGCTGTCCAAACAAAACTCCCTTGTAGCACACTGGCGCGAGGTTGGATGGCCAAATGGTTAGCGTGTGCGCGTTGTATCATAAAGTATGATTGAGTCAACTGGCGTGGTTTCGATTTCCTGGTTGTACATGACAAGGAGTAAGGTCGCCTGTCAAACTTCATGGGTTTCTCTGGGTCCTCCAGTTTCCTCCCACTGCTAAAGACCCCTACGGGCACGCGAATTATTGAAATAAAATTAAACTATATATGTTAGTCCAGAAATGACCTAGTTTGTGTCGAGTTGATGATAAATGCCATTTCATTCTCTCTGAGGTCCCATGTACACATTGGCATGCACTTAAAGATCCCCTTGCAGTTGGAATTCAATATAAGAGTAGGCCTTAGCACTCCTGTCCAGACAAAACTCCCTGGTAACGCACTGGCGGAGGGTCGGATGGACAAATGGTTAGGCGGTGGACACACTAGCCGAATGATTCGGTGTCCACTGTCATTCGGCCGAATAATTCGCCCGAATCAATTATATTCGCCTGGTGTGTTCGCTTTGCCGAAGCATTCGGCCGAATATAGAATTCATTAGCCAATCACCACTCATATCGAGAAGTCACATGATAGATTAAAGACACAGACGCCGCCATGTTTAATCATGTGACGTGAAAGGTGATGCAACCGACAGGTTGAATCGGGCGAAGCATTCAGCTAGTGTGTCCACCCATTCAGCCGAACGATTCGGCTAGTGTGTCCATCGATTTAGCGCATGCGTGTTGTATCATAAGGTATGTCATTGAGTCAACTGGCATGGGTTCCATTCCCGGGTTGAATATGACAAGGAGTAGGGACGTCTGTCCAACCCCGTGGATTTTCTCTGGGTGCTCCGGTTTCCTCCCACTGCTAAAGACCCCTACGGTTAGTCCTGAAATAACCTAGTTTGTGTCGAGTGAATGTTAAACCCCATTTCATTCTCACTCTCCCTTTGGATGGTGCCACACTTTTTCACGTATTATCATTATTTGTTTTCCCTCTCAGGTTTGATTTCGATTGCAAAACCACATAAAAAAGGCTATTAATTGGACTACTTTCAAGTTGCTGTAGTCACAGACTCAAATAGTAAGGAGAATGTGTTTGTGAACTGCAAATTTTTTTTTTGTGGCACTACATTTATGACCCCGGAGCCACTGACTGGCTAGTGTTCATCAGGATTTTCCGATGTGGTTTCTGCTTGGCAGTGTTGCAGGACAGAGGGCCTGACAAGGACAGCTGTCTAGTCGTTCGGATGGGACGAAAATCTGAGGTCCCATGTACACAAAATGAAATGAAATGAAATGGGGTTTAACATCCTACTGTTCTGCTCCTAAACCGGGCTAATGAAGATGGGCCTACACCATACAGTGTGCTATGAGGGAAATTTTGCCCGGGCAGCGGCACAACAGAATACTCTTATATCGAATTCCAACTACCAAGGGATCGTTTACGTGCACTCCAATGTGTACAATATCAAGTTACTGTAGTCACAGACAGGAATAATAAGGAGAATGTGTTTGTGCACTGCACAGGTTTCTAGTCTTTCGGATGGGACGAAAAACTGAGGTCCCATGTACACATCGGCATGCACATTAAAGATCCCCTGACAGTTGGAACTCAATATATGAGTAGGCCTTAGCACAGCTGTCCGGATAAAACTCCCTTGTAGCACACTGGCGTGGTTGAATGGCTAATGGTTAACTTTCAAGTTAACACACTGGCTAACTAACGAGGGGTCCGATCCTGGTATAGAATTTTCCCCTTGTTTGTAATGTAGGACAGTGTCTAGTCCTTCAAATAGGACAAAAAATCAAGATCTTGTGCTCATGTTGCATGTGCATGTAAACGAAACCTTGACAGCTGGAATTCGAAATGAGAGTAGGTCATTCATTCATTCCTTTTTCTCTTTATGTGTCGCTTACAGGCTGAAATTCTTAAAGGAGTTAAAAGGTTTGATCCCTGCATTGGCCGAGAAAGTGATGCGGGACGTAGGGCCTGATAAGGACACCTGTCTAGTTGTTCGGATCCGATGAAAAACTGAGGTCCTGTTGACACATTAGTGTGCACGTAAAAGATCCCTTGACAGTTGGAATTCGATATAAGAGTAGGTCGTAGTGCCGCTGTACGGGCAAAATGTCCCTCATAGGACACTGTATGGCACATGCCCGTCTTCATTAGCCCAGTTCGGAGCAGAACAGTAGGACGTTCAACCCCATTTCATTTCTATTGTTGGGCCCCTGGAAATGGACAAAAATGGGTAGCAAGGCATATAATAATATAACATGAATGTATATAAACTGAATAAAGTTCAGTCTTATCTGGTTTTACTGTATATTTTAATCAATTATGTTCGACAAAATATGCAAAAAGCCCAAATTGAATGACAGTCTTTGGCGTCTGCTTATTCTAGTCCACACCAGTATTCTCCTGTGGGATATGGTTAGCCTTCTTCATCGAGTCGCTTCATTACAAATGGTGCTCATGTTATTAAACTGACATTTGTTTACGTAAGAAAACTAAGGATAAAAAATGACAGTAATTTAATTGTTAGTATCATGAAATTAAACTGACATTTGTTTTACTTTATACAACTAATATCAGGTTTATGTTAGAAAACTAACATTAGATTTATGTTAGAAAATTAACGTTAGATTTACGTTAGAAAACTAACGTTAAATTAACGGTTAAAATTATGACATAAAAGTAACGTTATATTAACGTTAGAAAACTAACGTTATATTAACGTTAGAAAACTAACGTTAGACTTACGTCAGAAAACTAACCATAAACTAACGGTTAGAAACCTGATGTAAAATTTACGTTAGAATAACGTTAGAATTAAAACCAATAATACATATATAATTATTATGTCTGAATTCCAACTATTTATCAATTGTTAGAATGTGCACACACTTGTAATGTTATTTAATCAAGAAGTATTTAAAGCGAAAAAAATTGGTTAGTAATCCGTCATAAAGTTTACGTTACATTTACGTCATTTTCTGATGTAAAAGTAACCATAACCATTATGACGTAAAAGTAACGTAAATTTAACCAAAGAATTTTACCATTATTGGACGCTAACCAAAATCTAACCATAATGACGTAAACTTTACGTAAATCTAACCATCAATGTTAACTGGGTCAATTACATATTAAGACATTCGCGTGTGTTCATTGCGCAGGATTCTATTTCCTTCTTTTCAGTCACTGTGATATTTTCCATGCACGTGTTTTGGAATGGGTTTGCTGGATCAATGACGTACGGCGACCTTGGAAAATATTTCTCCCTGAAATTAATACAAAACGTAAATAATAATTTCAGCATATCGCAGGGAGCACGGTGACTAGGTGGTTAAGACGCTGGCTCGCTAGCCTGGAAGTCGGGTGTTCGATCCCTGCATTTATGGAAGGATAACGTTGCCAATATTATTTCCTTGTTCACGGTGCAAACTGCAAATGTCAGTAGTTCACAATACGTATTTTAGTTTCACAATTTCCATTGCTCAACAATACCAATGTCACAGTGTTAAAATACAGAATACACTTTTCAATAATACAAAATACAGTATAATAGTTATTTTGCACATTACACTTCTGCATTCTGCATTCTACATAATAGACACATGCATAATAGAACCCATCCTCGGTTACCCAGTGTACCCGTTCCGTTCTACTCCACTATACCCTGGGTTAATCCATAGGGTTTCCACGATTTCAAATTATCTGCCCTGGCCTAGAATGTAGCTACAGTCTACGAACCAATCAGAAAACAGTTTACAAACCAATCGTTTCGCCTTCGTTTTTATAAGGGTAGATAACCATATTCATGTCCATTTACTGAATGATTTATGTAAATAATGTATATATTTATAATTTATTTATATTTAATTGTATTATCAAAATCTGTAGTATGTTTCGCTGATTTTAAATATGTATAACATCTATGTGTTTGACTTTTGTTATTATTGTTACTATTCGTTCTTTGTCTGAAATATGTCATTCTTTTATTGAACCTAACTTGGCAATTTGATTCACAATAACTTGTCTACGATATCACGTGGACATAAAATTCCGGGAACGAACGATTCTAAATAAAACTAATGACCCTACATTATTATATGAACTTCTGGTCATCATTAACATAATATATAATTGGTTGTTAATAATTACGCATTTAGAATAGGCCAACTCCTAACCTTGTCCGATGAGAGTTACTTACCTTTGCCAACTTCCTTTTCAAATAACAATTTATGGGATTGGTCGATAAAAATAGCACAATCATCAAGGGCGGATTACTTGAAAACGTTTCTCCCCCATAGATTAACCCAGGGTATAGTGGAGTAGAACGGAATGAGTACACTGGGTAACCGAGGATGAATAGAACCTTGCATAGTAGAACATATACCTTATATGGGATGTACGCCGTACTATGACGGAACATTACGCGATAAAGCCATAAGGCCGCGGTCATTAGAAGGGGACAGTACTCGATTTTGTTAGTCTTCAACGTCCAGGCTCTATAATGTAATCATTTCGACGATTAGAGGATTCTGAAAGATAATAGTCTGGTATAACGAGACTATTCTTATTTGTTCTCATCGGTAAAAACCCCCAGATATTTCAAGTGAATCAATTTCTTGTTAAAAATTAAATTGAATATCTTATTTAATTGACAGGTCTCGAAAACCCTTTTTTGGGTAAGGTTAAACAATGTTATAGTAACCGAGCAGAATCTCTCGCCCGTATTCCAGCACTCGGATTCGAAATGAAGTTAGCACACATATTCCTAGCGCCAATAAAAACCTAGATATAATTATCACGAAAATAATTGTTACCTTTATATTAGTAAATAACATTTTAAGACATATTAATGCAAAGTATATAATAATATGTAATAGACCCCCCCTTCCCTCAAAGACATTTGCTGAAATAAAGATCTTGGAGCCACCAAATGTAGTTTAGAAGTTATTGTGTGCCTACCCTAACTCGATTCCCCACATATTTAGTACGTTTACGGTAATATATCTCCAAAAGCCAACACAAAAGGGTTCTGGATTTTTGTATTCTCGTAGTTTATTCATCCCTTGACTCTGTGAAATACAAAACATGTTGCCACCAAAGCTGGTTTGGGTGCTTTTTGATGCAGCGTGGACGTACCCCTTATTTATTGAACCCACGAACCCCGTCTCGAATTCGGGTGCAAGGTACTTTGCGGTGGTATATCTTGATACGCCAACATAGAAGGTTAATGAAATTTGGCATGTTCACACCTTATGCATCTGTTGATTTGGTGAAATAAAGATCTTGGAGCCACCAAAGCTAATTTAGAAATTATTGTGTGCGCAGCGAGCCTACCCTATCCCGATTCCCTCACATATTTAGTACGTTTACGGTAATATACCTCTAAAAGCCAGCATAGGAGGCTTCTGGATTTTTGTATTCTAGTAGTTTATTCATCCCTTGACTCTGTGAAATACAAAACATTTTGCCATCAAGGCCAGTTTGGAGTGCTTTTTAGTGGACGTACCATTTGTTTATTGCACCCGCGAAACCCGCCTCGAATTCAGGTGCTGGGAACTTTGCGGTGGTATAACTCGATACGCCAAAATAGAAAGTAAATGAAAATTGGCCTGTTCATATCTTATCCATCTGTTGATTTGGTGAAATAAAGATTTTGGAGCCATCAAAGCTATTTTCTAAGTTATTGTGTGCGCGATGAGCCTACCCTAACCCGATACCCCCATGGTTTTAGTATGTTTACGGTGATCTTTCTCTAAAAGCCAGCTTAGGAAGCTTCTGAAAATTTGTATTCTAGTAGTTTATTCATCCCTTGATTCCATGAAACAAAAAACACATTTTGCCACCAAAGCTGATTTCGGTGCGTTTTGACGCAGCGTGGACGTCCCCCTTTTCTGCGTGCTCAGTTAGCCTAGTGTGCGATATTTTAGTATGTTTACGGTAATAGTATATTTTTTTTCATCGGGGGGGGGGGGGGTCTATTACCTATATACTTTGCATTAATATGTCGTTTTCTAATATAAAGGTAACAATTATCTTCGTGATAATTATATCTAGGTTTTTATTGGCGCTAGGAATATGTGCTAACTTCATTTCGTATCCAGACGACCTTATGGCTTTATCGCGTAAATCATTAATTTCCGTCATAGTCCGGACTTTTTTCCGTATGCAAATGAGGTTCGTCGTAGATCCAATATAAGGTATATGTTCTACTATGCAAGGTTCTATTATGCATTTGTCTATTATGCAAAATGCAGAATGCAAAAGTGTAATGTGCAAAATAACTATTCTACTGTATTTTGTATTATTGAAAAGTGTATTCTGTATTTTAACACCGTGGCATTGGTATTGTTGAGCAATGGAAATTGCAAATTGTAAAACTAAAATACGTATTTTGAACTACTGACATTTGCAGTTTGCACCGTAAACAATGAAATAATATTGGCAACGTTATACTTCCATATGCATTGGCCGAGAAAGTTCATCTAGATTTTCCGACGTGGTTTCCCCTTGTCAGTGGTGCAGAACGGAGGGCCTGACAAGGACAGCTGTCTAGTCTTTTTGATGAGACGAAAAACCGAGGTCCCGTGTATACATTAGAATGCACGTAAAAGATCCCTTGGCAAATGGAATTCGTAATAAGAGTAGGCGATAGTGCCGCTGCCCGGGCAAAATTTCCCTCATAGCACACTGTATGGCGTATGCCCGTCTTTATTAGCCCAGTATAGGAGCAGAACAGTAGGACGTTAAACCCCATTCCATTTCATTTCATTTCATTACTTTATCGCACGCAAGCTGCATCCCCTGCCTTAATTACTTTATCGCATGCAAACTGCATCCCCTATGCTTGCTTTGTCGCGTTGTCGGTTGTGCACTTTACTGCGTGCGTACTTTACGCGTCTTTTTTGTTTTGAGCCAACAAATATACTCAGTAAATAGTTTTAAAAGCATCCCATAGCAGTCATTTGTATTGCAATAGAATATTCCTAATGACAGTCATTCTCAGTCTTCCGTGGGTTGGGGTGTATGCTACATTCTTTATAAATACTACTGTAACAAAGTCCAAGGGATGAATTCCTGAATTTGGTACCACGGTGGTCAGTAGTATGGACAATGCAATGCAATTCTATTTCCTGATCGAGTACATAATCCAAAATATGTTCCCGGCCGAGCATATCGTCGGATTATCCCCATTTTCCTGACGAAAGTTCGACATTGTTAAGATTCACATATTGTTGCTGGCATATTACTAATAACATTATATACAAATTATCCTTGACACAATGTATATTTACCATTTCATAGGTTGGTAAAAATCAGAAAATGTGATTTTAAGAGAATCATAGTTGACTAACAGGTCCAAAACTCCCTGGAACCCTGATCTCATGCTGTGGTATCCTTGTCTTGCAACATGAACTGCCAACAGTTCACACATGTACGACTTTATCTCCAGATCATTCTCCTAGAAAATGAAATCAGATTGGGGTTTAGCGTCTGCATCGACTGGACTAATAAAGACAAGCGCACGTCATACAGTGTGCTATGACGGAAATAGTGCCCGGCGTACGCGATAGGACATACTCTTACTCGACTACCCTTGTCAGATCTTTTGTCCTGCATCATTGACAAGGGAGAACAACGCCGGAAATATCCTAATGAATTTTTTAGGCCAACACCGGGATCGAACACGGGACCTACATGTTAGCGAGCTCACGTCTTACTCACTGAACCTTATGGCTCCCAGACTTGAAAATGAAGAAAAGTGGCGAAAATATTTTGAAAGTATTCTTACATTCTTCCAATATTTGATAAGCTTTATCAAGTTTTTAACTCCTGATGACTGTTTCCTCACAAACTGTCGTTGCTTCTGCACCAAACAAGTCGAGTAGTGTTCCCGTATTTCTTCGGATTTACGTGCCATGTCAACATACACCGGATCCATATTACATCCTTCGTATACTAAAATATTATCAACAATAATAATTGAAAGCAGGAGCATGGAATTGGACGTATCCTTAAGCCATTTTTTGAATCGCTGATTACAAACCACTGCAGCCTGGGCTAACCGTGAGAGAGAGAGAGAGAGAGAGAGAGAGGGAGGGGTTAAACGTCGACGCGACACAAACTAGGTAATTTCGGGACTAACATATGGTTCAATTTCATTTCATTTATTCGCCTGCGCATAGGAGTCTTTAGCAGTGGGGGGGGGGGACCGAAGAACCCGGAGAAAACCCACGAGGTTGTACAGGCGACCTTACTCCTTGTCACGTACAACCGGGGAATTGAAACCACGCCAGTTGACTCAATGGCACACCGTCTAACTACTTCTCAAGTTCCATAGATTATTATTGCATATTTCTGATAATCCGACATGCAGATGTGGTCATATCCAAAAAGACAGCGATCATTAATTTCTGCACTGCCCAAATTATGCAAATCAGAGTATCACAACATTATAATATATACCCTCTCCAAATAAGAATATGACGTCACCGTATATGTCTAGCCTCGTTCTTCGAGTCCCTTGTTACAAAAAGCGCTGAAATGCATTATGGTACACGAATCGTGTACCAATGGTAAAAGGTTTATTTTGTGTTAAATATCAGAAGCCCATCTTTTCCCGGTAAGATCACAACATCAATGTTGATTTAAATTTAAATTGTCAAATAATTCGTGTTTTCAATGTCGAAGACTTTGGATGATATTGAGTTAGAGACTTAGCTTCTTTAATGATATGATTTATTTATTTATTTATCAATGTAAATATGTAAGATATACCTTTGAAATTTATACATTTTAGTAATTGTATATTGAAATGTATAATTTACATGGAGATAAATTTATATAAGCTTGGGCTTGTTTTCAAATCCATTAAATCCGTATTGCATACATGTCGAACTCGAATAAAATATTGTTTATACCAATTATGACAGGGAAACAGAAAGGCTTTGTGTCTTATCTTTAGTGCTGTGCAATTACAGATTCTTACACAGTTCCCGTCATTTACACATCATATGCCGAACTATGGTGGGAGTGGGTGGGGGGTGTTTGGCCAAACAAAAACCGCGTGCGCGTTGTATCATAAGGTCTGTCCTCCGTTTTCCTCCCACTGCTAAAGGCCCCTACTACGCGCAAACGAGTTATTGAAATAAAACTGAACCATATGTTAGTCCTGAAATGACCTAGTTTGTGTCGAGTGGACATTAAACTTTATTTAGAGATTGTTTAAAAAATGATAAGGCAACCATTTTCCATCCACAACAAATAATCATGGGTCTCCGATAAATATCCCGACTGACTGTCCAAGATTTTTCGTTTTCGTTTGTTCCGCTCCGCTGTGATATGTGCGCTATTGTAAGTGCCTTTCTGACAGATTTCTTGGGGAAGAAGAAGAAAATTAACTTACTTTTTGATCCAATGACGTTAATGGCTGGTAGAACTTCGACACGAATATCATACCTAGTTTCCGTCGCTTCCATGTTTAGTGTAATATGGAATTGACCCGACCTTGGTTCCGCTATCCAGTGCTTTGAATCTATGTCATCTGCAGTCAGATAGGCACTGAGCTTATCGAGAATTCCACCAGGTCTTGTTTTATCTTCTATAAATTTTTCCATCGAAGAATAACCGTTGAAAAATACAATCAAATCTAGGTCAGCGGTTCTTCGGACAGCTGTGGCCTTACCAAGGGATCCACCCTTTAAAAGACAGAATGACGTCATTGTCTATTGTGCTATTGTCTTATTTAAAGATGCATTTTGTAAGATTTAGATAAAGAGCTTTGTGTTCTTGATATAATAGCTCAAAAATAGATAATGAAAAATAATAGTTTATATAACATTTGAAGGCAACATAAAGATCTGTAATAGGCAGATTTAGCTCTTAAATAATGCACTTTTTTTATCTTCAGTAATATTCAGGAATAAGTGATTTTAACCATTTTGAACCAGCAATTGATAGCCCAGACATGCGCATTATTGTAGAATGGCGAGTTTCCGATCATCGTAATTATATAATCAGAGGGTTGGATGGTTATGTGGTTAAGCGCGATCGCTTTATATGATAAGGTCTGTCATTGAATCAGGTGACGTGGTTCCTATTTCTCCTTGTACGGAACAAAACGTGGGGGTCGCCTGTCCAACCTCGTGGGTTTTCTCCGGGACATCCGGGTTTCTCCCACTGCTAAAGACCCGTACGCGCAAACGAATTATTGAAGTGAAATTGTCAAGGAGTAATTTTAAGGCAGTAAGGCCGTCTGTCCAACCTCGTTTGTTTTCTCCTGGTTCTCCGGTTTCCTCCCACAGCTAAAGACCCATACGCGCAAGTTAATTATTGATCCATATCATAGAGCCAAAATGACCTAGGTGACCTAGTTTGTGTCGCGTGGCCGTTACCCCCCCCCCCCACCTCCTCTCTCTCTCCCCCTTCTCTCTCTCTCTCTCGCAATGACACTGTGAAAACGGTTACGTTCCCTTGTGAACCGACGTCTTTTACTAATGTTCTGCATTAACTGGGCCAATGAGGACGGGAATATGACATACATTGTGCTATGATGGAAATGGCAGCGGCTCTATAACCTACACTTTTTTTAATTTCAACTGCCAAGGGCTCTTTTACATGCACACCAATGTGTTCACGGAACGCCAGAACGACTGGACATTGTTCGCCTTGTCAAGCCCTGCACCCTGCATCACAAACAAGAGAATGCCACGCCAAACACAATTCATAGGTTAGCGAGACGTCCAGGTTAGCGAGCCAATTTCTTACCCATTGAGCCACCGCGGCTCCCCACCATTTTAACATATGTATTCAACATATCACCTTTACGGTGTGTAGTTGTTTATAATACCTTTACAATCATACTGATGGTCTTTTTCGTTTTTCTTGTATAACCATTTCCGTAATTGAAGTAAGCTGGGAAGTCATGCAAATAAATGAAAATACGATGGAGTTCTTTTCGTAATCGTCGATCAGATGTTTTTGGAATATGAAGCCATCTTTGAACAAACTTTTCAAGACTTTCCGATCCATTGTAATCCGGTAAATAGCTTTTTAACGACATTCTAAAAGCAACAAAAACAAGGTGAAGTCGGGTCAATATTCTTTTTTAAAGGCAATCGACTTTTACTGACGAAATATCCTATGGTCTTTTAAACACAAAATACCCCTTATAACATGATCAAATAGTCTTTCAAAAAGATACAGACCAAACCCGTGAAACGTTAAAACGAATGCGTCGAAAAATGATAAAATCATGTATCATTCAGTGGTATTAAAATACAGATGTGACGTCACCCTTTGGTGTTGGCGTATCATTATTTCCAATAATGTACGGGAAACTTGCCAATCGTATATTATCTATACTAGATGAAATATTGGACTTGCGTGACGTATTTCATTGAAAAGCACGCGCGGGATAGTGTCTGTAAATTATGTTGTTTAATGGTCTCGAGCTAAAGACATTGCGTAATATATTGAAACAAAACTCGGTTAACGCCTCGTGCAGTATCAATATATTACTCACTGTCTCTCTCTCGATCATTAAACCATACATAATGGTAAATCGATTACAATCTTTTCATAATGTCACAAGCTGTGGTCTTTTACGTCATATGTTGTGCAACAATTGGGGTCAAGGACTAAATTACATTATTTTCGTTATAAGACTAAAATCGAACACGAAATATTATGAAATGGAAATACCATATAAAGCTTCTGTTCTCCAAGTAATAACACATCCTTAACAGGGTTACGACACGTGATTGTTGCCGAGGATTGTGTTTTAGGGTTAGGAAGTAGGAGTTAGGGTTAGCCCAGTTAACATCTAGTGATCTTGACTAAATCTGCAAGTGGCCTTAATATTTAGACCTAACCGTTATTAAGCTTAAAATTAACTTTTAAGATATCTTTATTTTAAAATGTGTACAGAACATAGATATAATGTTGACGAGATTGTGGGTTAGAGTTAATTAAATCGTCTGACCTATGACGAAATCTGCAATGATTCTTGGCTTTAATAATTTCAATGACAGATTCTTAAATCTGTTCAAGAAGATTTAAACAATATTTTTGTCACGGGATATCAAATCAATGACTTTTTAAATCGGCTTCCCAATATCTCATTAGTTAGGGGTTGAATCCCGATGTTGGACGAGAAAGATCACTTACCTTGGTTGTATAGCCACAGATTGGAACACCGGTTATAAATAACCATTAACGTATCACTTCAGCAATACAGTGTATTTAAAACTAGTTAGTTCACCTGCTTAAATCACTTTAGGCAAGGCAGTTTATTGGTTATACTACCTGATTACAGCATTCCTAAAAATATACTGGGCATTTCCATGTACCATCCTATACCTGCTTACATAAGTCCTAAAACTATACTTGGTAATTCCATGTATTTAATTGGTTGATTATAAAATCAATATCGGGAATTTCCAGGAAGCAAACGTGACAAATAATGGGGTTGAGTTTAACATCATAGTTTAAACGGGAAATGGCTCTATAGACCTTTCAGACGCTAAATTCGGAAATAGAGCTCGGTATACAGAACATTTAACTGGGATGCATTAAAGTATAATCCCCTAAACAACACCCCAAAAATGTTCCAAAATATGTTTGGTGGAAAGGGGTCAAATTAGTGTATTTCATGTTTAAAAATATTGATTTTATGCTATGACTTGGCTATAAAATGTTCCCATTTGGTGTTTTTTTTTATCTAAACCCATGTTGTCGTGGCCATGGAAGCAAATAAACACATTTAGAATATAATTATACTATTATATAATGCACAATATGTAAATTAGCAGCCGCCATTAGTGAAAAACTTATTTTCTCTCCTAAGTCTGAAATTGTTTGACTTAGCTCCATGAAAGCAATACCTATACACCGATAACTTCAGAGTCATGGGTGCTGAAAAACACTAGACGAATAGCACTGTTATATAGCATAATAAAGAATATGCAAATTAGACGCCTCGGCCATTACTAAAAAAACACACTTTTATTCAAAACACAAAAGACATTTGCAATAACCTGAAAAATCAAGTTTCCACACCTATTTTAGCATGGTCAAGGAATGTAATAAAAGTATTTGTACATCAGTATGGACAAGATTTGATTGATTGCATTAGTACCGCTGCACTGTTTTCACCAAGGTTGTGGTGGGCGGGGGTTCACATAGCCCGGATTATTATTAAAATTAATCATCAGAGTTGTCTAAAACTGGTTTTGGGGAGTTGCTACAGCTACGTCCAATGTGCAGACCAGTCAATGTTTTGTTTTACAAGTGTAACACCCAATCTTACAGATACATCAGAACAGTCGTTCTAGCCTTTCACGTGGTGGTGGCTGAGCTGTTTTCAGGGGTACTAAATAAACCTCAATGTTTTTCTATCCCCATTCCTTAGCCTTCAAATGTCTTGCACCCCCTTCCATTCCTTAACCTGAAAGTATACCCGCGGGCTATGATACCGAACAGCTGCAGACGTCGGAGGCAAGCTGTTAACCTCGACATAGGTGTTGCTCTTGGTAACCTTTTGACTTACATACAGCAAAGAGAGCCCTCTCTCCTGATTTGATTATTTCATCTTGAGTAGCATTGTCTTGTTTAAATACCTCTGTAATCTCAACGAATTGGACACGTTTTACTTTGCCAAGAGCCACGCCTTTTCCGATCCCATGTACTCTAGAAGTAGTATCACAACCATGCAAAGCGTGGACAAACAATATGTTTGTGCATATGTCTGGTCCTAATGTCTGTTTAGCTTGTTTGATATTCCATGTTCTAATTTTCTTTGCATCCTTCTTTGATTCAGGCATGAAATACATTTCATGACCGGTCGTATCGAGATGGTAAAGAAGCATGCAACACCAATAGGTCGGTATCATTTGATGATGCATTTCCCGTATGATACTGTTGATTTGGGGAACTGGGAACATAAATTCATCGGTAACATAGCCCAGATTTTTAGCCTGCTTCTTGGGAGATATAGAGCAATCACCGATCAGAATGGAATCCGCTTTAAACAATTTACTGGATTGTATTTTTGATGATATGACAAGAAATTCGGATTTGTCATCGTTAACTTTTAGCCTATTTCTGGTCATCCATCCTCGAATGTCATTAAGACAAGACTCTAGTTTACTGATAAAATCCTTGGAAGCAAGATAGTTGTTGTGTTGAAAGTAGTCATCTATTTGGGTGTCATCAGCAAAGCCGTGGTTTTGTACCCCATGTCTTCTTATGATTTGACCAATCGGAAGAATATATAGAAAAAAATATAGGTCCCAATACAGATCCTCGTGGAACACCTATCCTAACAGCACAGGGTTGGGACACATACCTGTTTATTTGCACCTTCGGTGTTCTATCTTGAAGATATGACTTTATCCATGACAGTGCGGCACCACAGATCCCAACCGAACATTCCAGCCTTTGAAATAAAATACTATGATCTATAGTATCAAAAGCAGCACCGAGGTCCAGAAGTACTAAATGTACGGCTAGATTCCTATCCAGTGCCAGGGCAATATCGTTTTTAATTTTAAAAACATTTGACTTTTCATTCATCTCAATGATCATGATCTTATCACCAAATAAGTGTTCTTTGAGTTTGGACTGCAGTCTCTACTATTCTCAAAATTTCTGATTCCGAGTCATTTTATCTTCGGTCATGGAGGAGGAATGAAGCATTAATACGAAATATCACTACATTTGACTTTTCATTCATCTCAATGATCATGATTTTATCGCCAATGTGTTCTTTGAATTAGGACTTCATATGCGCAAAGCTGTTAGGTTCGCAATTGGTATCTTGCAGACAACCCGTCGTTTTCCTGAAAATAGTTCATAATCTCAATGAAAGCGCTATTTCGAATGGATTCTTTTTGTCTATAGGGATTCGAGCGCTTAGACACACTGGGGATACTGACAATATCTGGTGATATACAGCATCTTTGGCATGCAGATCTTGAGCATATTGAATTCTACCAAACACTGACTTTGGCTTTTTCATCATTTCTCAACTCACATTGTTTTACAATAGTTGACTAAAAGTCTCTAGCTCTTACTGGAATTACATCGAAACCTCTTTTTCCCATATTTCGTCGGCTGACTGCATAACAGGCAGTGTGTTCAAAAACAAAATGTTGACGATTCCGAACGTAAGCTAATTGAGGAGGGTGAAATTGGGACAACTGTTTTCCTCAGGTCAGAACTAGTACGCGTTGGGTTAGTAAACACATAACAGCATTCCGTGTGTACAACCTGTCCTATGTGAGTCCTCACATCTTTTCCTCGTTTATCACTAGCTTCAATGACACCCTGGGTTCCCTTTTTACCCAGCTTGACTGCTGGCTGTCAATTATCTAAAGGCTATTTACAAATAACACAGTCGTCAGTTTCCATTAGCTATTACAGTAATATGTTATTGTTAAAGTTTAAGCAAATGAAAGCCAATCGTCAGATTTTACTCTAAATGAGAAATTGATATTCTTTGTCTATAATTATCCAAATTATATGCACAACAGATGCAAAGAAAAATCCAGTGTTGACCTGTCAAGTAATCAAATAGGATTAAAGCAGCTCCGGCATTCCATATGTAGGGTTTTCTTCTTGAAGATTCCACGTGTATAATAGTTAATGATAATTAGATAACATGTATACAAGTATACCATCTTAATACACATTCACAATGCGGGCTATAATGGGAAATTGTGAATTGCATGGGGTTGTAGCCGGCTTTCCTGTCACATTCAGACCCTCTGTTGAGAAGCTATTGAGATAATTGTCATATGTAACTGTACCTATTTACATAAATTTAAACGAAATGTATGACAATAAACCTTTAGTGATATACTGAAGAGACCTTCTTGCAATAAATATAATAAACAAAGAACCATATTTATGACATAATATGTTGGTCTTGGTGCTCAACGAAAGTCATTTGGGGGTGCTAAAAAGCGCAATTTCGGTGACGCAATCGCCTGATTTGCATATTTCAGATTATGTAATGGACTAATTGAATTACAGTAGTATTCATTGGATTCCTAACCACCATAACCATGGTTAATGACGCCATTTTCTATAAATTTGGACACTTGTATGTAAAGTTATTGAGAAAAGTCTGCTTTTTGAATAAGCCATACCTATTTAGTACATTATGCAAATTTACCTATTTACCCTAATTTAAACGAAATGTTAGCAATAAACTTTTATTAATATACTGAGGAGGCATTCTTGCAATAAATATAATAACCAAAGAAACGTATTATGTTGGTTATTAAGGTTATCGATCTAAAAATAATTTCAGAGAATAATACCATAAAGCGTGCAATATGCAATTAAGATAGGTTACCTTCGTGCATGCTTGCTGTTAACCATAGCTACTGTAAATTTGCCCGCTATTAGACCATTGTTCAAATAGTTTATTGGCGCAAAAATTCAGCAATTTGCTTTTTCCTGTTGGGTTACATATACAACTGGAACCGATGATTTCGTTGTCTAAATCTGTCAAAAACAAATGACATTGGGTTTAACGCCCTCTCCTTCTACCCAACTTGACTAATGTAGGCTGCAGCAAGGGCATTCCGTTCCACTGTACTAACCCCTGGGTTCATCCATGGCGAGACACGCATTCAAATTGTATGCCCTTGATGATTGTGCTATTTTTATCGACCAGTCACAATTTGTTTAAAACATAGATCTATATTTCGTTTTTGTATAATTTCGATGGCCTCTACTACATGCAGATCTGGCCAGTGGTAGCGTCAAGGGTCAAACGACGGGCTTTTGACGTCAGACATTTGATTAACCAATCAGTGTTTATGTTTCTAGTAGGATACCCACAGTTCCGTGCATCGCAAGCCAAGAACTCGCTGTAATAGGCCGTTTCATTGGCTAATCCTTCACATCAACCAGAACGCGGGTTATATAACAACTCTTCCAGATCCTAGAGTAGTAAAGACAAATAGAACGACCAATAAAAACAATCGTTAAATACATAAAAACTGAAATAAAAACAGATTTCTAGTCTCTTTGAGTGCAAAATTTCTTGCAAACATTCTCATAAGCGAGCGGACAGGCTGCCATAGTGTTGTGAACGTAAACAGTGAGGCTAAGATTGGTTTGTAAACTGGAATTTGATTGGTTCGTAGAATAAAGCTACGATCGCGGGTAGATGATCTGAATACACGAATATCCAATAGGAAAACCCAGGGTATAGTGGGGAAGCACGGAATGAGATCACAGGGGATACCGAGGATGCTAGAGATTAAGTGAAAAGTTATTCAATTGTTGGGTAAATTTGCTTGAAAAGAATTAAAGTAGCTAAGTCTCTAACTCAATATCATC